CCATGAGTAAGCGACGCGGTTGTCGAAGGAATTATAGCGAACGAGGCAGTTGTTGTCCATTTCACGATGAAAGCGCTTGCGATGACCTTACCTAGGTGGGATGTTAGGTGAATCTATATGCCAGCTAAATAAGTCGATACTGTTTTCGAATTTATATTTTTGAATGAGGTCGCCGCGCAAACGTCTATTTAATAGAGAGGTGAGACCGAGTTTGATGCATCTTGTCTCGTAATCGAAGCGCTTTATTTCGTGCGGTCTTTGGTAACCCGATGCTGAACACGTTCTATGACATTTATGTCTTTTTCAAGATGCGGGCAATTGGCAGTAACTGCAAACTCGAGATGTGGGCGTATATAAGTGGTGTTCCTTTTTTAAAACCTTTTTTTAAATTCCTTTTTTTAAATTCCTTTTTTAAAACCTTTTTTTTTTTAAAATTTACAGACCTTAATCGGCAAATAAAATTTTATAGACCATACAAGGCAAAAAACAGATACATCACCCCCATCCTCTTTCCTTTAAAAAATACCTTTAAAATTATTTTATTTAAAATGAAAGTTCTTTTTAAAATTATGTTTAAGCAGTTCTATAAAAATGGACCGCAAAATGAAATGAAATGTTTTCTAAAATTTGTTGGAGAAAAGGACAATCGAAATAACTTACCATTACTTAGTTATACTTTTATATTTCTTTTTGCAAATACAAATTACAAAAAGAAATAAGAGATTGTTGGTTTTATATTTATGCACAAACTAGATTACTTTAACAACATTTAGCATTATCTGCATTATTTAAACGATCCTTGAAACTTATTAGAAATATTTTATAAGGCTACATGCTTCTATTGACGATAAAAAAATCTAGCTTATTTTTATAACTACTAACTTTCGCAATCTTTACATTGGTAATATGACAAACAATATATGAGCTATATAATTACCGGATAACTTAATAGTGTTGCTTTTCCAAGAAAGATTTTCGACATTTTTTCGACATATTAGGAGAGAGTAGGGAGAAGTGGGACTTTAAAAATAATTCTAATATAATTTTAATTTTTTTATATGGTGTATGTACTGCACCAAACAAGTTTTATTCGAAGCATTATTTCGGGCACTCTTTTCATCTCATAACAATGAAAGCAAGTTATCAAAAAAAATATATATTTTTTTGAATTTAGAAGAACCGTACGATTGGGGTAAAGTGAAACATAAAAATATAGAGTGGAGTATAGACTTTAAGGCCGTTTTCCACAAGACGAAATATTCGCGCGAAGCGAATTTTTTCGTCGATAAGCATGCGCAGATAAAACATTTCTAGCAATTATTGCTAATTATTGCGAGAAATGTTTTATCTGCGCATGCTTATCGACGAAAAAATTCGCTTCGCGCGAATATTTCGTCTTGTGGAAAACGGCCTTTAGTATGGTAGCTGTTTGGTTTTGTAGTTGTTTATTCTCTTTGAAATGTTTTCTTTTTATTCTCTCTCTTTCTGTATTTTATCTAATATACAAACTAAAAACATAATTACTTATCTGCAAAATATGGACGATTAAACATATTAAAAAATGTATATACAGTATAATATTAAAGCTAATATATTAAATAAAATAAATAAAGTCTAAGCTGATGCGAAGATCAAAAATTTAAACAGAAAATATTTGATAGCGAAATAGCGAAAATCCCATAGCGAAAATCCCAAAATTTTTGATCAAATTTGTAATAGAAAATTTATTATTTTAAATAGGTCTACCTTATAGAGCCGTGCTGTTACTTTTTGTGGCCCTGTGCTGTTACTTTTTGGAGCCCTTAAAATTTTTTTTTAAATTTTGTTGAATTTATTTTTATTGTGTTTTATTTCTAAAAAAAAAAGTTATGCAAAGAAATTATAAATCAATTTTCCTAGCTCTTTTGTGGTAGCATTTTCTATCGGCAGTATTGTAAATCCTGAATATCTTTCCTGTGACATTCTAGATCGCAGATAATTTGCAATTAATTTTGAATTAGTTAGATTTAGTTTTGAAAATTATTGCTCACAATAAGCAACGTAATGGGTATTGTTAAACTCTTCCAAATTCCTGTCGAAAATGAATTTCAAATTCTCAATAATAGTCTAACTACCTCCTAAAACAGAGAGTTCTTTTTTGAATTTCTCCTTTTCAACATCGTTTCCTAAGTGTTTGACCAAATTTGAACAATTGAATTCATTTGCTATTTATAGTTTTTAGCCTTTTATCATTAAAAAGAAAAACAAAAATTTGATTTAAAAAATTATACGATTCAAATCGTTTTTGCAATGAGTCTTTAACTTTATCGATCAGTTTAAAGATTGTTTAAAGATAAGATTGTTTAAACTAATCTTAAGCCGTTTGAGCTAAATGGTTATCTTTATCATCAATTGCAGAAACGAGACCACGTATATCAATATCATCACAGCATTCAATTGGATCAATCAACGTCTATTGGTTCAATTTCTTCATTAGGTATATCAATATAGTAATATATCTTATTTGCTTTATTTTTATGGTCTGTATAATAACAATAGTCTGCCAATCTCTTGAGACTACGTACTCTCTGTTTTGACTAAACTTAGTTCCATATTAAAAATATTAAGTAGAAACAAAGATTGTCTTGATAAATCAACCAGTTAAACTGGTGATTTATCAAGACAATCTTTGTTTCTACTTAATATTTGAGAAGAACTTTCATTGAACTGTGCTACATCGTCTATATCTACCGATGCCTCTTGTGCTTCTTTTATAAACTGTTCAAAATTTTTTATGAAATCATCAAGAGATAATAGCATAGCCTTTGTATGTTGAAATGCAATATTAATTGTCATATTATTTAGCTGAGGCAATTGGCTGAAAATGTGAAGCTTTGATAACAAGTGATACTAAATTGTTGTGAGCACAACAAATTCATAAGATTTTTTTTTTTTTATTAAAAATACAGCTTGAGTTTTACAATCTGGATGGCTATTTTTAAGTTTATCTAGCGCAAGACTGATTTCTTTTATCTGGTATTTCACGGCTTTTATACTTTTAAAGCAATATTGAGTGAATAGAAATGAGCAATTGCATTTACTTGTACATTTTATGGGTTGTGTGAGAATGAAATGTCATTAAAACTATGTCCGATTTTTTTGCTAACTCAATAACAGATATGTTAACATGACTCTCATGATTATCCATTATTAAAAGAACCGATTTTTTGATTGATGGTCGCACATTACTAATAAAATAATCAAAAAATTGCAAAAAAATGACTTCAATTGACCATCCAGACTTATTAGCTGCTCCTACACTTCCAGGAGGACAATTATTCAACATGTGGTCTTTGAATTTAGCACGTGGAAAAATAAGTAATGGTGGGATGCTATTTCCAGTAGCATTAATGGCTGTAATCATTGTTACATTATTACCTCGTTCAGCACTAGCCATGCTCCCTATTGTTTTTTTGCCTTTTGGAGCTAAAATTTTTGGTGGTACGTGAGCTGTGGTAATTCCTGTTTCATCACAGTTCCAAATATTTGATGGATCACAATGATAACGTTCTAAAATATTTTTGTAATTTTTATATACAATTTTTACGGTTTCTCTATTGAATGCAGAAGATCTACCAAGACTTGTAGGTTGTGGTTTACGTAGCGATAGCTTGTTGTTATATCTTTTGCAAAAATCTCCATTGTAGCCATTGTTCACCTACACATTTATTTTTTATCCATGAAGTTTCAACTTTTTTATGATTTTCTAAAGCATACTCATATGCAAAGGACCTTATTTGCTTTAATGTAAGTCCATAATTCATATTTGCAGCATCTCCTAGTAGTTTACCAATATTGATTCTTCTTCTGTTGAGAATACTTTTTTTGGTTTGGTATGTGAATATAAATATTCGCAACTACCAGATTTTTTAAACTGCTTTAACTGATATATTAAAGTTGATTTTTTAATATTGCAATGTCTTGCAGCTTCACTTAAACTCATTTTTTGTTGAGGCACAAAATTCACTGCATTAAGCATATCCGTTTCGGAAATCTTTTTGCGAAAAACACCAACCTTGCTCCTTGGCATTTTAAGAATAAAATATATTAACAGAATTAACTATTTTTATACATTTAATTCCCTATAGCTGTGCAGAAATTAGGTAATAAAATGAATTTGATAATAATATTGCTTCAGCTATCCAACTAACTAAATTAACAAAATTGATTATTCTAAGTGTAGTACTGGTCCAAGAATAAATAGTTAATTACATTAAAACTCAATGGAATTATTTCATTACCATAATACTAGAAACAATTTGGCATTAAAAAGCAATAAAGCACAGACGCCTAATAAAGTATATATAAATTTTATAAATTTGCGCTCTTTAAGTCCGCAAATTAACGAGGAAACGGTCAAAGGTACAATCTCCTAGTCTGGTCAAAGGTACACGATATGGGTTTCTTTAACAATTATCGTCTTAATCCCCATTTACGGTCAGACATAACAATCCAAACTTTTCCATAATAAAAAAATGATGTTGGGTAATGTTTATAATGTCATAGATGAATCAAACAACAACTTATCACATTTTTAAAATCAGAATAAGATTAACACAAACATTTACTTTTTAAGAGCCAAAACTTATAATTACTTGTGGATCTATACCATCTATCTTAAGTATGATGTTTTACGGTAAGAAGAGTCGTCATGGACTATTATTTCAAATGGCATTTCACGTTTTTTTTAAATAATAATAGTAAGCCGACAGAGTAGAGTGACCAAAGGTACAACGTGGTCAAAAGTACAACAGGTTCTCCTATAAGTAATCGAGTTAAGTTTTAGTTGCAAAGTCAACAAAAGCGCGATCTGATGGAATTTAGCGGTTGAAGTTATTAAATTTATTTAAACTATTGTAATATTTTTTAGAAATAAAAAGTTAATTTAAAGCTATTAAAAAACTATTTATTTATCCATTTATCAAAATCAAAACAATAATTTTCAACATAGAAAATACAAGTTTTAAAAATAAATGTCTACGGTGGAATATTAATAATAAAAATTGTAAAGCAACTCATTCATAAAAACTATAAATGGAATTCGCATTTACACCACCAATTCCGTCGATACAATCATATGATTCACCAGCTCGATTGTACGAATTACTTGCACTTTCACCACTCCAGCACTCACCATAGTACTGCAACCCAAACACAGACCAACCTCTACGATTTGTTGACAAAGCGCATAGTCTCAATATTTCGTTGATATTTAATAAGTTCCTAAATTTTAATACACACACAGATACAAAGAGTTTCGTTTTTATGCCTAAATCTTAATTTTAGTTATTATTATTATTGTTTTTTTTTACAAATTTAGCTTCAATTTCATGTTAAAATCATTACGGTTTTATTTTAATAGAACAATTTTATTTCCTGAATATTTTTCGCTTTAATCCATTTATGTTTTTGTACTATCGTAATTAAGCTTAAGGTTTATTTTACTTCCTAAAAATTCCATTTTTAGGTCTCTTTTAAGAGTTTTTTAACCCAATAAAATTTTGTATATCAATTCATACGTGTAATTTGATTTACAGCACAGTTAATTTGCTTTTTAAACTAAATAGCTTATTTTAAAGATATTAAAAATAATAAACCATAATTTTTTTTGTCAGAATACATAGACCCAACTCAGACTTATTTAAAATCAAATATTAGTAGGGTTAGTCCTTGTAAAAAAGTCTTATATACATAGATGAGTATTTGACTTTTTGAAAATCCCGGAAATTTTTTTCAAAATTATTTTATTAAAAATTTATCGTTTTTATGGGGTTATTCATTTTTATATGCGCAATTATATGCGAGTCAACCATCCATAAAATCTCTAATATAATTTAATGTAAAAAATAAATAGGCTTTTAAATTTTTATATAGATATATTAATAACAATTATAAATAATTAAATTTAAATCTATATAAATGAATAATTAGATCAATAATAAATTAATCAATGAAGAATGTAATAAAATTAAACAAAAACCTGATACTAAATTAAATAAACCATCATCGAATGTAACAAGTCTTCGTTTTATGTATTGTTAACCTCGTTTACCAAGAAATTAGAAAAATTTGTTTTGAAAAAAGGAAATTGTTTTTTCAAAACAAAATGCTTAAATGATTTTTTTTGTTCTTATAGCTTTTTTAAAACGCATATAAGAATGAAACGCTTATAAAATTGAAAAGACGCGCATATAAGAATGAATAACCCTGTAACAAATAATATATAATAACGGCCATTAAATTATTAAAGCTTAATTTATCTTTTGTATCTCAAATTAAATTCAGTTGTATTGCAAAAATATCATTTATCTCTGCATCATTTCACATGGAATTTTTTCGATACAAATTTTAAGTACTTTGGAATCACAATGTTTATATATATATATATATATATATATATATATATATATATATATATATATATATATATATATATATATATATATATATATATATATATAATAATCGCCATTATTTTATATATAATAATGGCAATTATTATTTTATATATAATAACGGCCATTAAATTATTAAAGCTTAATTTATCTTTTGTATCTCAAATTAAATTCAGTTGTATTGCAACAATATCATTTATCTCTGCATCATTTCACATGGAGCTTTTTCGATACAAATTTTAAGTACTTTGGAAACACAATGTTTATATATATATATATATATATATATATATATATATATATATATATATATATATATATATATATATATATATATATATATATATATATATATATATATATATATATATATATATATACACACACATATACACACATATATATTAAAATATGCTATAGTATGCTATATTGTTATGTATATGTTATAAAAAATTTACCAATTTAAAGATTCTTTGAAACTATCAAGCAATAAGGGCAATGGTCGTGGTAAATTTAAATCATCTGAAAAACATCCTAACATCACCACAGGAGGAAGACTTTTTGTTACTATGAAAATATATGAAATGTAAACACAACATCTTTTTTTTAAAAAAAAAAAAGAAAAATAAATAGTAGAAAAAAAACAATTAATTTAAGTTTGGGGTTAAATTGGTAACTTACCTACAGGTGCACCGATTCTGTAAACAAAATTTGAACCATCATTTCCAACTCCCTTTTTACAGTTATATGCAGCACCACTTAAGTAATATGTTTTGGCAACACTTTCATTTCCACCCCAGCACTCACCATTAAATTGAAGTGAATAATACTCATAGCCATGGATGTATGCTTTGAGTGCGCATTGTTGAATGATATAACTTGCATTTGTACTATAAATTAAAATAAACGTTAATATTGAGGAACATCCAAAACAAGTGATAATTACAACTACAAACATGATCATCATTTACAAAAGATTGTCTAAAAACCTACCTTGTGTAAATATCCCTGTAGTTGTACAGAAATACAGGTACGCGACGAGAACTAGGAATATCATTATAGCAACCAACTGAGTACGATGGTGGCATAACAGTTGATTCAAAAGCTAGCAAAAAATAAAAAGGTGAACAATCAATTTATAAAAATGAATTTAAAAAAATAAAAAATCTGCAAAGAAGAACCTGACCTGGTATGCAAGGTTTCGTCTGGCAAGCTTCATCAACAGGAATTGGATCATCAGCGCATTCACTAATTGATATAATAAATCCAGTAGAGCGCTCTACACATGTAAGTGTTTTCAACTTAAAACCTAAATATACAGAAATAAAAAGTAATTTAAATAAATAAATATTTGTAATTTGCTTTTATTTTTGTTTTAAAAGTTTATTTTTTATTTTGTTATTAAATATAATTTTTTTGTTTTTATTATGTTCTCAATTAAAACTCATAATTAAATTTCTAAATTTTTAAATAATTTTAGAATGTAGATATTTAATTTACTGTGCTGTAGTCTAATATCTGATTTAGGCAAAAATTGATAATTCACATACCTTCCCCGCATTCAGCAACACATTCACCATACTCAGCTTTCCAATAGTGATTTGCTAAACATTTCTCCATATTGCAAGTACGAACAATATCAACAGGTTTAATTATAGAATTGCACATAGCATCATCAAATTTAACTTGATCAATATTTCGTACACATACACTAGAAACTGTTTCTTTTCCTTAAAAATTATTTTTCTTATTTAAAAATAAATAAAACCAAGTAGAAATAGTAAAGTAGTAAAAGAAAATAGTAAGACAATCAAGGCAATGATAATAAAACAATGTAAGATAATCAAGACAATATAAGACAATCAATCCTGATTTACAGACATGTTTGGGAACAATAATGAATTTATATTGAGTTTTTAATTTTTTTCAAAATGCCTTAAATTGTAGAAATGAAAAATTTAAATAAAGATGATAATGACGGTGACATAAAAATTTGTAGTAATATATATACCTAATAATACTATAATAAAAATTTGTAGTATTTGTAGAATAACTTATATACCTGTTCCACAAGTTACAGAGCATGGAGAAGTCATGGACAACCAAGAATATTCAGGAGGACATTCACCCATGTCACAAGGAATCTGCTCAAGACTCATATTTTTTACAGGATCACAAAAACTTGCATTTACAGTAAGCTTGTCTGTTTCACGTTTGCATTCAAAAATAGGAACCTTTACCCCTATTAAAAAAAATATTGATATAATTAATTAAAATTAATTGCAAACAATTAAAGTCCATAAAACTAAAACAATTTAAGTACATAAATTTAAACAATTCCATAAAATCAATAAAAAGTCTACAGAACTACAAAGCGTTAGAACAAATTGATTTAAAAATATGAGATACAAAATCAAATAAAAAATAGTGAAAAAAAAATAATTACAAATTATACCTTTTAAACAAGTAACAGAACAAGCTCCATAAGAAACATCCCAGATGTATTTTATAGGACAAGGTAATTCATTACATGCATCAAAATGCACAGTAGGTTTTTTAGTTACATCACAATATATATCAGATACAGTAAGATTAGTTGATAAAGCCACGCAAACCAAATTGTACAGAACAATACCTGATATATAAAAATAATTGCATGTTAAATGATAAACATAAAAGTAAATTTTTAAAGATAACTGTATGAGTATTGAGCCATATTTGGTAACTCAGTAATGCATCATTATCTGTTTATCAACAGTATTAGTTTGTTGCCTTTAACAATATTTTCGGCTAATATTTCATTGCCCCTATATTGCTGTTGTAATGAAGTTAAGAACTAATTTTCACCAGAATAGGAAATTATTTTTTCATAATATTTGACAAATTGATTGAACTTTTCACACATGGTTCTGCAGAAATCATATTTTATAAAAATACTAAGTAATATAAATACATTTTCAAAAAGTTAAAATACTTCAAGATAACATTATTTCATACATTGCGGTATGTTTACCACTACTTAATCTTAATTTTTAAAAATGAGTTTTTTGCTTTACAATACAAATTACTATGAATTAGAATTTTGAAAAACACCTAAAGTATGTACAAGAAATAGATGTGAAAGTAGAAAAACAACTAAAAAAACTTTTTAAAAAATTGCAAACTATTTAAAGTTTATCTGAAATATCATCGATTCAACATACCACATGCAAATCTTGATTAAAAGCAATTGCTTAAAAGTGCTTTACATAAAAGAATAAATAAAAAGAAATTACTGGACAAAGAGTTAGAAAATTTAAAATCTCAAGTAAGAAAAAACTGTTCAACTTTGCAATGGTATCTTTTAACTATAATCATCAATAACAATTATTACGAGCAATTATTATCGTAATAATTGAAAGAACTTTCAATCATTAAAACTCACGAATAGAAATCAAAAAAATATCGTCATACCCCTCACAAAATCAGTAGATCTTCCTTTTAAACACCAAAATGTTATTCAAAATCTATCCTCATATTTAACTTTTATTAGGAACTATATATTAGTTTGAATACATTAATATAAGAAAATAAAATATTTCAAAGAAGTACCTAATAAAATTTCGAACTTTTGTTTTGGTGGTACCCATAAGCTTGCTTACAGAACAACAATCAAAACTATTTGATGTTTTTTAAATGACATTTTTAAATCTTTAATGTATCTGCATAGTTTTTTTTTTATTTTTTTGTTTGTTTTTTGTCTAATAATTACCCAGTACTTTGTAATTATTTTTGGAGGATTTGCTATTTTAGACAACTTTCAGGTCATTTTTTTTATAGTTTGCTATAATGACTATAAGGTCATTTTTTTTCCAGTTTGCTATAATGATTTGATGATAAATCAGGTTAGAACACAAGTCTATTATCATATAATTTAGTAGAAGGTAAATGACATTTTGTTAATTGCTTGCTTTAACATATATTTTACCAAAAAGTGTGGACTCAGATATATAGGGTGCTGATTTTTTGTCATAACTGGAAATAGCTTGCCATATAAAAGCTTTTCAAGCAAACTTACTTTTTTTTGTGTATTAAAATTTCTAATCTGCTTTTCCTATAAATTTGGAATTTTAATAGACAACACCAGGAATTTGCTGATGATCGTACTTCATATAAGTTTTATCATTTTCAATAATTCAGAAATTTTCAGAAATGTAGTTGTCATAAAACTTCCTTTAGTGGGTTCTTGCTTTTTTTTTTGAATTTCAGAACAGTTAGGCACTTTTTGTGATTTGAAAGCTTGAAAAACATGTTTATATCAAATTTTTACAACAAAACAATGAGAAAATTCTCATATTTTTGTGCGTTTCCTTAGTGAGAAGCTTAAATTATTCATAAAACTGAGGACAAGTTTTCTAATTAGTTTTAAATCTTAAAAAACCTCCTTTCCTTCATCAACAGATTTGTATTTGATTGATTTTGTTTAGGAAAAATGTTAAACAACATCACTGATGATGTAGAAATGTATTTGCAACTTTTTTGATACTGAATTGTAGCTAAATTCAGATTTTCCATAAGATTTGTGCAAATATTCTTTTTTACGCCTTCTTTTGTCATTTTAAAAATCTATTTTAAGTTAAATGAGAAAACTTAAATCTTTTTTTAAAATCATTACATGTTACCAACAAAATACAAACACAATAAAAAATATATCAATACAACCACTAAAAAAACAAAAACATATTTACTCTTTCACATTTACTTTGTGTACACGCTTTATAACAATATACACAATCGATATTAAAAATCAGATAAAACAATCTTTAAAATTAAATTACCCTTCAATGTTAAAAGCTCTACCTTTTCTTACTTTTTAAGTATAAATTTTTTTTAAAAATATCAGGATAATAAGGTGGTGAGACACTAAATAATTATAGATGTAATTAATTAACTTTTTAAATGTATTAATTCATTATATATATATATTAGGGTTCGGAAATTCACATGCATGCATGCATGCGCATGTTAAAAATGCGCATGCATGCGCATGTACGTGCGAACGTACATGCGCATGTAGATTAACGGTAACAAAAAATTTAAATTTAATAAGATCATTCTTTTGAAATATTTTTAAAGTTAATTTAAGTTTTGACTCATTTTTCTCTATTATTTTGCTTCAAAAACTATCGTAAGTAATGATTTGCATATATTTGAATCATATACATTTAATTAGAAAATCGTTTCTCGTTAGAAAAAGGCTATAATGAGTCAAATCGAAGTCGCAAAATATTTAACCGACTACAATCGTCAAACTAATTATGGCAAGTGCAAATTATGTGATAAACGTGTCCAGTGGTCCAAAGAACGTCTTGCAGCACACAAGAGATCATCCTGTCCAAATGCAAGTCTCGAAGAAAAACGACTGTTTTCGAAACGCAAATCAGAATCACCAGCACATCCTTCCACATCCTCTCAAAATGAATACACTCAACTGATGCAAGCCTCACAAGAATCGCTTTCACATGTAGCTGACACAACAAATGGAGAATGGAAGGCAGATGTTGACATGAAATTATCAAACTACTTCTATAGAACTGGCATTTCTCTACGACTAGTTGAATCTGATGCATTCAAGGATTTCGTTAAGGCGCTCAATCCAGCATACACAGCTGCTATGCCGAGTGCAAAGACCTTATCAGGACCTCTGCTCGATAAGCACTTTAAAAAGTGCTCTGCTGCTGTCAATGAAATCATCCAATCTCACGGTAATCTAACGTTGATGTCAGATGGTTGGACAAACATCAGAGGTGATCACATCGTTAATTTCTGCGTGAAGGCACCGGGTCAAAAAGCTATTTTTTATTCATCTATCGATACCTCCAGAATCATTCAGAACTCAGTTGCAGTTGCGCTGCTGCTATCATCCAAGTCATCGACAAGATTGGTTCACAAAGGTTCTGCAGCTTTATTTCTGATAATGCACCTGTTATGAAGTCATCATGGAAGATAATCGAAGAAACATACCCACACATCTCAGCAAGTGGTTGTAGCGGCCACGGCATGAATCTATTAATTAAAGACATCGCCAGTACCACAGAAGCTGCAAAAACAATCAAAGAGTTGGAAAAGATCATCAAGTTCATCAAAAACCACCATATGGTCAAGTCAATGTTTGATGAATATCGACATACAGCAAATGTCACATAATCTCTCTGCATGCCTGTTGCTACACGCTGGTTTAGCTTGTACAATGCGATAAACTCTCTTCTTCTCTCAAAGTATGTTTTGATCAAGCTAGCTGACGAGGAAAACGACGCATTAAAAGAAATTCAACCCAAAACCACATCAGCAGCAGTCCTGACTTTAATCAAATCCCCTGCCTTTTGGACTCGTTTGGGAAAGTTAGTTAAGGACATTGAGCTTCCTTCCAAAATGATAGGAAAGTTGGAAGCTGATGAAGCTCAGCTCTCACTTGTCTACCACTATTTTGGTCAACTCTTCAACCATTATGATGATGACGAGAGTATTCAACAAAAAGTTCAGTCGCGACTCGATTTTATTTTCACGCCAGCCATGGGACTAGCTTACATGCTTACGCCAAAGCACGCAGCAGACGGCTTTTATTTTGGAGATGACAAAATTGACATTATTACAGCCACGTTGGATCGAACAAGCAAAATTCATCCGGATATTGCTGACAAAGTGCGAGAACAACTGATCGAGTTTAGTGGAGAAATGACTACGTTGCCCCAGAAACGAAAGGATACAATTTACAAAATGAGTGCAAAAAACTATTGGAGCATTATTGGTCGCAACAAGTATCCGGAACTTTATCAAGTGGCAGTTTCCATCAATGAGATGATATGCACATCAGCTGCAGCAGAAAGAACTTGGTCGATCTTCAGATTTATTCATTCACGCCTTCGAAATCGTCTAACAAATGAACGAGTAGAGAAGCTAGTTTTTCTATATACAAATAACGTACTGATGGATACTCGTGACAAAAACGACTATATACAAGATGAAGGAGCTATGATCGAAGAACTTGAGCAAGAATTTGCAGAATAAGACATAAAAAGTTATCATAGATTGAGTGTATTTTGCAGCTAATTATTGAATTTGAAATTGAATAAAATCTAAAACTTGAAGTTTTTGAAGTTGTTTACGATTAGAAGTATTAGAAAATTAATTTTATGTTGTTTTTCAACACAATTGATTTGCATAAAATTTGATTTACTAGCTTAATCTACATGCGCATGTACATGCATGCATGTGCATGTAATGTATGACATGCGCATGCATGCATGTTGCTGAACCCTAATATATATATATATATATATATATATATATATATATATATATATATATATATATATATATATATATATATATATATATATATATATATAATAAAACTAAGTAATAATAAAATTATGAATTTGAAATGAGGTGATTGTAAGTATTACCAAATGTTTTAAACATGTCTTAAAGAGTCTTTACTAAAATATCAACACATATTTACTTATGCGATATTAAAATGGGAAGCCAATACAATTTGTGATAAAAAATCAGTCAGGATAATCATGTTAGTTCAATTTTGACTGACACAAATCTGATGTCTGTGTATGGAGTTAACAAAAAAATGCTCATTTACCATATTGAACCATTTTTAACTAATTAATTCCATGTCTCAGAACATACCAAATGACATTTTGGTTGGAATGATGAGTATTTAGAGTATTAAATTTAGTGTTGACCTGGTCAAAGGCATGATTTTTAAAGTTTGTGACCTTAGAAATGCATTAATTAATTCTAAATACAGAATTGCTGGTTACTGTGATAAACCAATGCCTTCAAATATTCTACTTAATTTAGTATCAAACAACAAGCACATCAGCAGAAAGGGCGTAGAAAGATTGTTACTGCTTTATGATCTGCTTTATACTGGTATACACCAGTTTTTGTCTCGTTTAAATTTTCCAATTAATCTTGTATGGAATACTGTTTCCATATTTGGGCTGGTTTTTCTAATGTCTTAATTTCTCTTTTAAACAAGTTCTAAAAATACATTGCAAACATAGCTGCAATTATTCTAGCTGCCAAGATGAGCTACATATCATAAGATTGCATTTTTTCTCTCTTCTATAATTACTAACAAAGTTGCTTGCCTTATATTTTATTACAAAGAGTTGCTCACCTTATATTTTATTATGAATAGTTGCTTACCTTATACTTTGAGCTAAACAAATAAATTGAATTTATCACATCCAATTTTGAATACAATGAACAGAATGCTTTTTAGAAATTTTAAAAATTTATTTTGCTTTCTCAGATTTAGCTGTATTCAAAGTTCTCCTACTCAATTTTAACTTTTTTGATAACTTTTCATATGAAATAATTGTTTATGAAACTTCAACTAACAGTCTACATAAACTTAAAAGAATTTTCAAAGAAAAAAAAAAATTAAATCTTTCTGACGAAGTTAATCAAAAATGACAATTTCTTCATAATAATACTTCTGATATCTAGCTGATAACAGATTAGATTTAAATGACTAATATTATAATAATAAAATTGTTGAAATAGATTAGTTGTTTGTTATGCCACATTTTTGTGCCCGCTTGCTATACATTTTCACAAATTTTCTCATTCCCCTCCTACAGTTTAACATACATTATGTATGTCACATTTTTTAATTGTATAAACTAACATTAAAAAAATTATGCATGTGTGTGTAAGTGTGTGTACCAAACTCAAACTACTAATTATGCTATAAAGATACCTCCACCACAACTAAGACTACAACCATTGTGTTTTATTTTCCACTCGAAAATTTCTGGACACAAACCAACTTCACATTCCTCAGAAAATGATATAATTGGTTTCTTATCATAGCAGGAAGACTCTGAGACAGCTACACCAGTTGCATTATTCTGGCACTCCAAATGTAAAGATCGCAAACCTATTTGAAAAAATTATTAAACATTAACTGGTATTTAACTGGAAAATAATTCACCAATAAATATTACAATAATAAACCTTTTCCACATGTTACACTACACTGGCTTTTAACAACCACCCAATTATTATAATCACACGGCTCTTGATTACACTGTTGAGCATCTAATTTGATAACAGGTTTGTTAGTAACATTGCATTGTGAATCCAAAAGATTCTGTATTGAGGGTGAATAGCAATACAAGAATGGTGTTTTTGTACCTAAATAATATACAAAAAAAATTAGTTAATAAAATAAGTGCATTGTGTGATATGTATAAAATATGTAAATGAATATAAAACTTATTTATTTAATAAATTATAGAAGAAAATCTGGATATGATGAAAAATAAAATCCTTTGTATTTAGTTCATTAAGTTTTGAAGTTTTAAAATCATGCAATATGCAGCTCTGGAAAATAGGAAAAATGAGGTTGGTAATAATTTGCTGACCTTAATCTGTTAGAGATCAGCAAAAAAAATTTGATACAAAGGTTTTACCATAAAACATAGAAACAAGGTTTTGATCTCAAACACTTTTAGGTTGGCAGTTAGGTTGGAATTGCTGAATGCCGACCCTATTTTGAAGGGTTGAATATATAATATTATTTGTAAAACATTGCTTATTTATTTGTGTAATATTATCTAGTTAATCAACACTTATGTCAAATAATTTATTCTCAATATACTTGTTTACATGCTACATCACATGCATGTGACTCATACATACATAGTGATGTGACATACTCATACATACATAGTGATGTGATATACTCATACATACATGGTGATGTGACATACTCATACATACATAGTGATGGATCCAGGATTTTTTAATGTTTGAGATAACTAACTTCCAGACATTGAGAAAACTCCAAACAGTTGTATGTTTATACTTATTTCTAATAATGATGCTTTGCAAAAAATTGCAATGATTGGAGGCTAGGAATGAAAAAACCCTTCAGTTTAATCCTTCCCCCTCAAAATAAAAGGGGTAACAAGTTGATAAAATATTTTTTGTACTATTCTCAACTAAACTTATATTCATTGATAAATTTGAAGTTTCAAAGTACTATCTCTCAGTGTTAGAAAATTATGACCAAAAAAAAGTTTAAGTGCATTGAAATATGTAACTATGTGTAAAATTTGTTTATTTAATAAATTATATACTCTTAAACCACCTTGATTTATAAATTGACCATTTGTATTAATAAATGTGGTTGAGCAAAAAAAAAAAAAAATGATAATTTTAGCATTCCTGCAAGCCCAATTTTGGTCCAAACTTGTTGGATGTTTTAAACGCCTGGCAGGGACCTTAAAATTTATTCCGTATACTTAAATTTATTTTTTGTATTCTTGTAAATAGCATATATTGGATCGAATATTAATCAAAGAAAAAGACACATGTTGTAAAAATTAAGAAACTATTCTGCAGGATATTCAGAAACTTGTTAAAAAAAAAGATTTTTGCCCAAAAAAAGGTGTTTATTACTTGGTGGCGTATGAAAAATGTTTTCCAAATAAACTGTTTACAGATGCGGAACAAACTATTACCTGAATAGTTTTTATAATAGTGTCAAATGAGGTTTTATATAAGCAGAGCCGAAGCCACAGTATTGGTAGTGCGGGTTGGGGCTAAAGATTTAATGAACCCTTAATCCCCTCGCAATATCTGAATTTTAAGGTCATTATTTTCAAAAATTTTGAAATTATTAGCCCAAAAAGAACATTTTTGAAAAAATAAAATCTTTTGGCTGGCTTGCAGGAGACATTTATGAGTTGATTATGAATCTCAAACACTTCTGTAAAAAAACTTACCACTGTAAAAACTAAATCTACAGAAAACCTAATGTTCAAATGGCCCCAAATAGACTAAAATGACATTAAATTAGCATTGATTCTTCAAAGTTTGTTAAATATGATAGTCAATCTATTGCTAACACTTTCTTAGAAATCGCTAAACTCAAAATTGTAATATTTTGCAAGAAGGCTCTTAATGAAAAGATTTTTCCCATAGGAGATTACAAAAAGCTATTGAAACTGACTATTATGTATTTATGTCCTGAAAGAATTTTTCAAATTCAAGCAAATCATCTTTTAGTTATTTCATATGGTACAAACCCAGACGTAATAATAATTAATAATAATAAAAATAAAACGTAATAATAATTAATTAAAAAAACCAAATGATACAGATAAGTAAGAGTGGTATTGAAAACAAAACCTTAAAATTATAAAGATTTGTCCGTGAGTAACCCATCTATGTAACCTCTATCTAACCAAGGTTTTTTCACTGCAAAAAGAATGCAGTCGCCAGGGCAACTTACAAGGCCAGAGCACTTTGTAATTTTATTGAGTCCAAAAGTACAACCAATAAATTTTTTGGACAAAGTTAACTTGTTTCTAAATCTTTTAAATTGAAAATTAAGAATTAATTCTTAATTTGTTGCAAAAGTTATTCGAGTTAAGTTTTCTATAAGTTTTTCTTCTTCAAATAAATACGCCCTAACCTTTAGTCTTGCAACTTGAGCCATTTTGAATTTTAAATACTTAAACATTTTAGAAGACTACTTATTATAAGTAATCCAAGTTTTTAATTAAGTTTTTAAAGTAGTTGTTAGCATTGGTAAGTAGTTGTTAATTTTTTAACAGATTGTTGGAGTAGTTGTTACTTTAATTTTTAAATAATGATTTCCAATCAAATTTCTGGATATTAAAATTATTTCGCTCTAATGTTTATTAAGTAGGGTCCATTAAGGTTAGTGTCAGGTGGTGATTACCCCGTGGTTCAAAGATAGTTATTTTAAGACCTTATATGACAATATTATAAAAACTATCGAGATAATAGTTTGCTACACATCTGTAAACAGTTTATTCGGAAAACATTTTTCATATGCCACTGAGTAATAAACACCTTTTTTTGAGCAAAACCTTTTTCATTAATTTCTGAATCTTTTTCATTAATTTCTGAAGATCCTGCAGAACAATTTCTTAATTTTTACAACATGTTCCTTTTCTTTGATTATTATTTAATCCAATATATACCATTTATAAGAATAAAAAATATTACAGAACAAATTTTAAGGCGTTTGAAACACTCAACCAATTTTGACCAAAATTACATTTAAAACGTTTATATATATAAACAGTATTGGACAAAACATTTACAACCAACATTGAACAATGCTAAAAAGTGTTCCTAATTTTACATGTCTTAAAAACGAAACAAACTATACTACCACAGCAAACAGTTCAGGAGTCTGGAGTCATAGCATGCCATGACATGAGCAATCAGCTGACAGGTGACAACACACAGGCAGAATTTTGTTGACAAGTGCCATTTTGCAGCAGACAAAACAAGTGCAACTTTTTTGGTTTGTTTCATTTTCTTAAGTCTGGTCCGTGTCAACGTCACAGAAATTTTTAAATAATAATTAAAGGGAATATCCAGAAGTTTCCAGAAGCATGCAGAAGCTTCCAGAAGTTTCCAGAAGAAGCATCTGGAAGCATCCAGAAGTATCCAGAAACATACAGAAGCATCCAGACGCATCCAGAAGCTTTCAGAAGCATCGAAAAGAAGCATCTAGAATCTTCCAGAACAGGTTCACACAGGTTCATTTTGCTATATAAGAGACATGTAAACCGACATGTAATTCAGTCAGCATATGGAAGTCAATCAGTCAGTATTATCAAGACAGTTTATTGAAGTGAGTTTTATCAAAGTGTTTTATCAAAGAACATTAATACAAGAAGTGAAATACAACAAGTGTTTCACTACATCAATACAGTCTACATCCAACCAAGACACTGTTTTTTTTATTTTCTTATTTTTTTTTATTTTAATTCACTAAAGAACCAGAAGAAAAGACTCTTGTTTGCTACATCTCATACTGACTGGAATGTGCAGAAATGGCGAACTGTCCTGTTCAGTAATGAATCGAAGTTCAACATCATTGGGAGCGATGGGATTTGCCGTGTGTGTTGACCGGCCAGAAAACGCCTTGATTTACGTTACTGCCATAAGACCATGAAGCATGGTGGAGGCAATGTAATGGTCTGGGGGTGTTTTTCTGCTAACAGTCTAGGTCCAATACATCGAATCGATGAAATAATGGACCGTTTCATGTATAAAAATATTCTGAAAGATGTTATGTTACCTCATGCTGAATGGAATATGCCAATAAAATGGATTTTTCAGCAAGACAACGATCTGAAACACACTGCAAAAGTAGTCAAGCAGTGGTTTCAAAACAACCACCTATCAGTGATGGATTGGCCGCCTCAATCTCCGGATCTCAACCCTATCGAGAACCTGTGGGAGATCGTCAACCGCAGAATTAATTGTGAAGGTGTTCGTAATAAGGATCAACTGTTTGAACAAATCTAAAAGGCTTGGGCAGCGATTCCATAAAGTTTCATTGATCACCTGATCGAATCTATGCCTCGAAGATGCAAGGCTGTGATCGACAACAAAGGATTCGCCACAAAATATTGATAGAGAAATACAGCTTGGTGAGCATTTTGTGGAGTTGCACTTGCTTTGTCCAGAAGGAAATCAACTTTTTAAAATACTTTTGATTAATTTATTAATTTTCGTGTACAAATCATGAACTTTGTGATAAATAAAACTTGAAGAACGTTGTCTCTAAACAGTTACATAGTTATTTCTCTATTGAAAAAATGCAGCACTTTTACATAAAGAAACTAAATTAGCATTATTTGGTTGCACTTGTTTTGTCCGATACTGTATATATATATATATATATATATATATATATATATATATATATATATATATATATAATTTATATTTATATACACACACACACCATGGATTACTATACTCATGGTTGAATAACACATTATTATTTGTTTATTGAAGATGTATCAAAGATTTAAAGATTTCCATATATTAAGCTGTTTTGCATATAATATTTTTATTGCAATACAAGCACTAGATAGATTACCATTACCCACAGTTATACTAGACGTTTTAAAATTTTTAAATTATCTTTACTATGGGTTAAGAGCCTAACTTGTCTTAATACTGAAATAATTTGATGCCATAATCAGGAAAATCTATGTATCTATAATACACACTTTTTCATACATACTTTACAATATGAGAAATTTCTTAAAAATTAATTTAAAATATTAAAAAAAATTTAAACAAAAATTAAATTTTAACAAGTCTTTATAATATCATTTGTAGTAAACAAAAATGACTTTCATCCATTGCAATATAAAAAATAATTTCATCTTTCAATGCATTAATAAGAACTTCAATAAAAAAATATTTTGCCACCTTGTTTGTCACCACATTTCACAACTATAATTTATAATAAATTACTAGACAAGTGTGAGTTACAACAAATGAATATTTATACAAGCTGTATGTATAAATTTTATAAAAAAACTATAAATACAACTTGCATAAAAAATAAAATATAATTTATATTATAAAATTGTAACTCAAAATCAAGTTAATACATCTCCTACAGCAATAAAAAAAAAAGTATGGCGATTTTTTTTTCTTCTTTGTCTAAAAAACTGGATCTGGATTAATGTCAGCAAGCAAAATATAAAGTGTGAAAAATATGTTAGTACAGTGCACATATATGTCCCTAAAGTTGGTGCATGTAAATTAATTTTTGAAAGTGAAAAACTATATATATTATTATGATATATATTAATTTTTGAATGTAAAAAAAAAAGAAAATTTTTTTCAATCAATCTACTAAAAAAAGCATTCAAACAATTTAACCAGCAAAATTTATAAAATTTTTTAATTTCAAAAAATAAGCAATTAAAAAAACAAAAACAAAAAAAAACAACCTCCCCCACAACTTTTTGAACAAGAAGTAAAATTAAGCACCCAAACAGGGCAAAGAATATCATTGTTGCATTGTTGACTAGAATCAATTGGAGCAAGGTAAGAACATTCAAGAGGTGGTGCATTCACAACACTGCCATCTGAATTAACTCTTTCACAAGTTACTTTCCTTGTTTTTAAGCCACCACCACAAGATTTACTACACTAAAAAAACCATCCAAAACATATAAATTTTGACTCATACTTCTAATATTTTAACAATTTAGAAAAAATCAAAAAATTAAACATTAATGTTAGGAGTAAACTGGAAAAAGTCAGAAAAAATGTAAACAAAACTAATTTCAAAAAAAGAGTGAACAGAATCTGAAAAACATCTAAATATTATATTGATAACGGTTACCTAAAACTAAACTTTTCTAAATTTGACACACGTTTTATTTGTTGTTAGTTACTATTTAAGTTACATGGAACGGATATGTTCCATGGCAACAATTTGGCAAACAACTAAATGATTGCCAACTTGTTAAAAACTAGTTTTTTTATAAGTTTTTTTTTAAATAAAAAATAGGTTTTTAATTATAAAGGTACCTTTTTGTTATTTTGGCCCTAACAAAAATTTAAATAAAAAGATTTCAAAAAAAAAAAAATATTAAACTTTTCATAGGAGAGTCTACAAAAAATCTATAAATAATATACACATTGTTAATTAGAAAATTTTTGTTAAAACAAGGTTGCTTTTATTTTTTTAAGCAAAATTATGGATTACTGTATCAAAAACCTATATCAAACTATAAGTTTAAGGTTGCTGAAGCTTCTTCCTGCTGATGCAAGTTACTATAGCTTAAGCAAAGCTACATTGCACTTGTTAAATCTATATATTACAAAGAAAAAAAAATAAATAATAATAATACAAATAATAATAATTGTTAGTACTAAAGAAGTTTTATTGTTTTATACCCTATTATCATAACTGAAATATAAAAAAACTTTAAAACTGTTTAAATTAAAAAAATATATATTCATGGGGCCCTAATTAAAATAAACCTAAAATTAAAATAGCCCAAAAATTAGAAAAATATATATTATTAATGGGGCTCTAAACTCTTATGGGCCCTGGTGCTGTTCTCCAACTACGCACCCCTCTCATAGAGCCAGCTTAACAAAGTTACAGGTAAAAATAGCAATATCAAATGCACACCGCATGATTGGTTAACTCAAAAAATTCTTTGCTAGTTGAGATCTAAACTTTGGCAAATACTCTATTTGATATTATCTATTCAGCCACACAGCCATTATTTGATATTATCTATTCAGCCACATCTGGAATTTGAGGTACAGGCCTGGTTGTCTCATTATAAGAAAGATATTGAAAAAAAATTTAGCATCATCATAATCAAGCCACTAAAATGATGAAGTTTATAAAACACTAGAGGAGACCTTGAAAAACAGATAAATTTGAAAAAAGATATGATGTAATAAACTTCTTTGTGCCTCAGACTCTATTGATTGCCCCATAAAAATACAACATAAGAAGCCATAATCATCAAACTCGCAAAAAGTTGCTGCGAAGAGAGGCATCAGTTTTTCATGAACAAAGTACTCAGACCAAGTAATGCAAAATGAAATAAATGTGAATAAGTTTGAAAACATTTTTATAAAACTCAACTGATGCAACATGGCATCATGAAACTGTTGCAACAGGGAAAACCGGAATATTATTTAATGACATAAATAAACTCAACTCATATATATATATATATATATATATATATATATATATATATATATATATATATATATATATATATATATATATATATATATATATATATATATATATATATATATATATATATATATATATATATATATATATATATATATTAGATATAATATATTATTTTTAATATTATTTATTAAATTTCAAATTTAATTTTAAATTAAATTATTCACATATAAAAAAATTTAGTAAATTCAATCATATTGAAATAAATAAAATTTACTTGAGTCCAAGGTGTAGAGCGCCAAACTGCAGGACACATTACAATATATATATATATATATATATATATATATATATATATATATATATATATATATATATATATATATATATATATATATATATATATATATATATATATATTAGATATAATATATTATTTTTAATATTATTTATTAAATTTCAAATTTAATTTTAAATTAAATTATTCACATATAAAAAAATTTAGTAAATTCAATCATATTGAAATAAATAAAATTTACTTGAGTCCAAGGTGTAGAGCGCCAAACTGCAGGACACATTACAACATTACATACTGCAGTAAGGTCCATCTGTGGTCGTTTGGTACTACAATCAGAATCTGGAAGAATTGATCGACCAGTTTCAGTCATCATGGAGCAATAAAGTTGTCGAGTCCATGTTCCATTACCACATGATTTTGTGCATTCTGACCATGAAGTAACATACCATCTAAAATATATTTAACAATTATAATTTTAATGGTTTCTATTTCTTTTTTAATAAAGTAATTATTTTTAAACAATTATAGGTATTGAAATAATATTTAATAATATAAATAACAATTATATTATAGTTTTTATTATGCATCTTTAATAAATAATTGCATGTTTTTATAGTTTTTTTTTTTTTTCATATTTAACTTATATTAGACTTAAAATATCAGTAGGGTAAAACAACATCACCAATTCTCTTTTTTGAACTTAAAATTAAGTTTTAAGCAATTTCTTCTGAGTAGTTTGAAGAACAAAATAAGTTACAAAATTTAGGCAAAAACACAGAAAACTTATGATCAAAAATGCCATTTAATATCTGCCATGCAGAACAAAAACACAAGAAACTTATGATCAAAAATGTTTAAAAAGAGTGTAAACTAATTTAAATTGTTATTCAAGGTCGCAAACTAGGCTTGCAACCTTGGTTACTAGGCTATGTAACTTGCTAACTTATTTTTTTCATGTTCTTAAAAATAAAATATGCATATGTTATTTAGGAATTCCTATTTTCTTCCTCAAAAAAAGCTCACATTCTTGTAGGGCCCAACCTTACCCTCGTAGAGGCCTCACAAAAGTTAGTGAATTTTTTTCATTTTTTTAAATAGGTTTTTTTAGCAACTCTTGTTTACGGTTTAAAAATTTTTTTCTTTATCTTTAAATTAATATATTTTGGTCAAATTTCTTCTGCTAAAATAATTTATGCAAACTTTTTGTTACTTTCCAAAGATTACTTTTAATAAATATAAATATCTGACCAACAATGTCACCTCCATTTCTAGTTTCTGGTTAAAGCAACTCATGGTAAAAATAATGCTTTACATATGATACTAAAATAAATATTTACTTTTAGAACTATTAAAAACTCAATTGAAAATAAATATATGTATTTAACTATAAACATATTTGTTATGAACTTGTTTCAAAACTATTATGAACTATGTGTCAAAGGTCTTACTTCACTGCTTGAATTGGTATCTTTAACACCATCAGAGTTTATTGAAGACTTTGTAATGCATATATTGACTTTATAATAACATTTATTGTCTTAGGTTAACTTTTTATTAGAAGTTCCAAATATCTGCATTGCATAAACTTGACTGAGCAATGAGAGGCCACAGAGAGAGGTGAAATACTAGCAGAAAAATTTTCTGTGAAGAAGAAATATAAACTAAGGAGAATGAAAAGATGTTCATAATGAACAAAGATTTATGTTTAGTTATTTTATGTGATATTATGTGATCCCATTCAAATTCTTTATTTAAAAATTACTAATTTTCTACTAACTTAAGAAAACCTCTTCCAACAACATTTACAACCACATAGTTTACCACATTTACCATATCTTATGTAAGTTATACAATGTTGATGACAATAATGATGATAACAATGTCAATAATAATAGTGGTTATAATAATGATTAAATGTTGATAAAGTTCAATGCAAGTTGTATGCCTTGGATGTCATGCAAACCTATTCATTATTCTAATATTTTACTATAATAGATTCCAGTGTTAAAAATAAAAATTATAACAATAATAAAAAAATAAAATGCGTTAAAACATAACAATGTTAAAATAACAATAAAAAAAATATTTAATTATAATATATATATATATATATATATATATATATATATATATATATATATATATATATATATATATATATATATATATATATATATATATATACATATATATATATATATTCTAATTCTTACTCAGCAGGACAGTTTTGATTGTTACAACTCTGTAATACATTTATTGGGTCAAGTAATGAACATGATTCAATATTAACAGTTGAATTATCATCTGTACGAATACATAACATTTTGCGCGTTTGCATTCCTAAAATTAAATAAAAACATACAACTGGGTGTTTGCTTTACTCAAATTAAATACACAAAATTTATTTTCACTTAATTTAAATACTAAGTACTTTTTTTGAATCATTATATATTTCTTATCATATAAATAAAAATGAGTAGAATTAGATATGTTAGTTATCCAGTAGAAAACGAACTCAATACAAAATAAACAAAAATAAATACAAAAACTGCTAATTACTTAGTAATAAAAAAAAGACTATTTATATGCTTAGATTAATGTTAGTATAACATTCCATAGGACTTTCTATTTAACTCATCGCTGTGTTGCTGTTTTAAAAGCAAATGGATACTGAATCTTTTGACTTTTATAATGTGATTTTAGCTTATTTCCTTTTCACTCCTTCCTTTTATTTTATTTCATGTTGATCCTTCTTCTTCTCAATACTGCACTCTTTTTGATATTATTTCTAACTAAATTGACCCAGCCTTTTCTCTTAGTCCTTCAGCAGATAATTAAGTTAGCCAATAGTTGACTTGCTCTAGTAGCATTTACCTTGCTGATACTAAAGTCTTTTTCTTTCTCAATCTTAGAATTACAAATTTAACAATTTCTCTCTTTTCCAGACAACCCTAATTAATTACCTTCAATGCTTGATTTCAGATTCTCTTCTCTGACCTTAGCTTGTGCTCTGTTTGCTCCCTTTTCTTTTAGGTAGTTCAGAGACTACTGGAAAAATCTTTATGAATATCATAAACAAGTGCAAATCTAACATTCTAGCTCTCGAATGGGTCCACATGGGTGTGATATTGTTGCCTTTCCAAAGAATAAGACAGAACTATTTGCAAAGAACTTTTCTTCCAACTTGTCGCAAATCCATTAATTTATTGAGATTTTAAATAAAACATTTGTTTTGCCAGTTTTTTTATAATTATTTTATCTAGTATTTATTCAAAGCATTCATTTTCACTGTTTTTATTTTAATTCAAATAAAAAAAAAGAATAAAAAAATTTTAACGCACAAAAAAGAATAAAATAATATCCCATGAATAAAAAAATATCGCACAAAAAGTGTGCTGGGATTAATATTTTACAGTGTCAGAAAAAAAATATACATTTATCGGAAAACTAGGTTTGAATCCACAGACTACTCTTTTATGTGCTTTCGTTTAGCACCACTTCACTCCATCACCTTTCTCTTTGTTCTATATTGCTCTCATTCATCTCAAGACTGCACTCTTCTTGATGTTATTTTTGATCATATTAACCAAGCCCTCTCTCTTTATCCATCAGCAAATATTGTTGTTGTCAGTGACTTTAATGTTGATCACACTGAATGGCTTGGCTCTAGTGTCAGTGACTCTGCAGGCATTAAAGCCCACAACTTTTGCCTTACTCAATCCCTAACTCAAATATTCAACATTACAAATCGCTTTCCAGACAATCCGAATTATTTACCTTCTCTACTCGACTTGTGTCTTGTTTCTGATCCTAGTCAGTGCTCAGTTTCTCCACATTCACCTCTTTTGTATGGTTCTGACTTTGTCACCTCACCTAAAGACAAAGCTGAATTGTTTGCTAAGAACTTTTGATCAATATCATCTCTTGATTCTACTAGTTGTGTTCAACTGATATAGCTGTCAAACTGGTCGATCCATTGCTCGACATCCATATCACTCCAGCTTCTGTATCTTAAGTGATTTCCTCCTTAGACTCTTCTACAGCTTGTGGCTTGGACAACATACCTGTTATAGTCTTGCAGAAGTGTTCTCTGGAGCTGTCGTCTATCCTTTCAAAACTATTCAACAAGTGCTTATCAGAGTCTTGTTTTCCAGCCTGCTAAGAAAGCAACATCTGTTATCCCTATTTTAAAAAATTCTGGAGAGTGATCTGATTAGTTTAACTACCGTCCCATTAGTCTTCTTCCTATCATAAGCAAGGTTTTTGAATCTTTAATTAACAAACACTTAATCTCTCATTCTTGAATTTAATAACTTACTTTCTGATCATCAATATAGATTTCGATCTTTTTGTTGTACGGCTGATTTGCTAACAGTAATAACCGATAGGTTTTATCGCACATTAGATAAAGGTGGACAGGTTAAGGCCATCGCTCTTGACATTTCTAAAGTGTTTGATAAAGTTTGGCATGCTGGTCTTCTTCATAAGCTTTCTTCTTACGGTATATCTGGAAACATCTTTAAGGTTATTGAATCCTTCCTTTCCAATTGTAGTATAAAAGTTGTCCTTGATGGACAGCACTCTTCTTATTTTGTAACCTCAGGGATTCCTTAAGGTTCAATACTTGGCCCTTTACTCTTTTAAATTTACATTAATGATCTTCCAGATATTCTCACATCTAAGGTGGCATTGTTCGCTGATGATACTACCATTTATTCTTGTCACGATAAGAAGCTAACTCCCTCTGATTGCTTGCAGGGGGCATTTAAGGTTGAAAAGGATCTCACTTCTGCTACAGCATGGGGCTCACAGTGGCTGGTGAATTTTAATTCAGATAAAACTCAATTTTTTTCAGCCAATCATTATCCCAATAATTTAGACCTTCCTATATTTATGAACGGTAATGTACTTGATGAGTCATCTACCTTTCATCTTTTAGGATTAACTCTTACTTCTGATCTTTCTTGGAAACCTTATATCAAATCCGTTGCAAAATTAGCACCTGCTAAAGTTGCATCGTTTTATCGAGCTCAACACTTTCTTACTCTGGATTCTATTCTCTATCTCTATAAATCTCAAATTTGGCCTTGTATGGAATACTCTTGCCATTTCTGGGGCGGATCTTCTAATGATGCCCTTTCTCTTTTAGACAAGGTGCAAAAACGCATTGTAAACATAGTTGGACCTGCTCTTGTTGCCAACCTTCAACTTTTGTCACATTGTCGTAACATTGCTTCTCTTTCTCTTTTCTACAAATACTATAATGGGCACTGATCTAAAGAGCTAGCGTCTATTGTGCCATCTACTAAAATTCATTCCTGTGTTACTCGTCATTTATTTAAGTCTCATTCTTTTTCTGTGATTGTTCCTAAGTGCTTTAAAAACTCTTATTCCTCTAGTTTTTTCCCTTGAACATCAGTTCTTTGGAATTTGATTCCTTCATCTTGCTTTCCTGATTCATATATATAATATGCAATCTTTTAAGTCGTCTGTCAATCATTATCTTGCTCTACAATCTTCATCTTTTCTCTTTCAGTAACTTCCAACACTAGTAGTTGCTTGCAGCCTTGTTGGAAGCGAGGATGTTTAAAAAAAAAAGAGTCAAACAAGAGTAAGATTTTTTTGCTAATCTACTTCATTCTGAGAAGTAAAAAGATCAGACCCATGAATTAGAGATTAAATGTTAGGCTTATATTAGTTAATGATATTGTTAAAGATTAACCAAAAATCTCTAGAACCTAACATCTGAAAACTTGAAGAGAGTGTCTTACATATTGTATGAATGAGCTTTAGTTAAGAAAAAAACATGCTCTAAAAAAATGATTGTTTACATTAGAGAAACAGCTTAAAAGAAAAAGGCTAAAGCCTGATGATGATGATAATGATCATCATCATCATCATCAGGTTTTAGCCTTCCTCTTTTATGCTGTTGATGATGATGATGATCATCATCAATATCAAGATGATCATAATGATATTTATATATGCATATATATACAAAATATAACATAAATTTTGGATGAAAAGAATATACTTTAGGATGCATTAATATTTATGCAGCCCCTATCAAACCCGGCCCCGGCTAAATTTTATTAAACCTGGCCCTGGTCATATAATACCCTCTGTCACTTACTAGTAGGTACGGTTCAAAATCTGTTTGTCTTGCTAAGAAATCTGTTTGTCTTGCTAAGAAACCAGTACTAGAACCAAATGCCTTTGTATTTGTATCCATAAAAACTCTTAAAATTCATTCTAAAAATATGTAGAGTTAAATTTAAAAAAGTACCTCCACCACATGTCTTACTGCAAGCGCCCCATGATTCTCCTTTCCATGCTAAAACTGGAGACAATAAAACGCTAGTTGGAGGTTGATAATAATGCCACATAACACCTTCTGATGGCACTTCATAAAAGTTAATCAGCTGAAATTAAAATAAACAAATTTTATAAGACTTATACAATTCTTAAACAATAAACTAAGTACAACTTTATTCCATACAGCTTTTTCAGATAAAGAAAAAAAATACATAGAATAATGATAAAGAAGATTGCTACCCCAGAACAAACCCTTAGTCAATGTAGCAAGACTTCTTGTATGTTCTATCTATTTAGTCAGTCAAAATATGTACTGAAGCCTCTAGTAGTAGGCAATTTTAATTAATCTAAATATGCAATAGGGGTCGCGCACAAATTGTCAAACAATTTTTGACTGCTTTTTATCCCACCCCCTCCTTTGTCACAACATCGCAACTCTTTAGTAGCAAATTCTGTATGAGCCATCACAAAACCACTAACCCCTCCCTTCCCCCTAAAGCATGATGTAATTTATCGATGACCCCATATAAGCTTTTTTTTTACTCTCACTTAATTTAAAAGCGCTCCTTAGTGTAGTAATTTATTTAAGTATACACTTTTTGGATTGCCTCATCTTCTTTATCTATTCTTTCATTTGGATATTAACAAGTAATATTACCCTAATATTTGCAATAAAGTTTTTTTTTTTTAAGTTTTTTGAAAATAATCCAGGTTTCAAATGAAGCTTAATTAGATAATGTTTGTAAACTCTTAATAATAAATGACAGAATAACTGATTGACTGTAAAATTGACTGTAAAAATTTTAATAAAATATGAATCAATAATGTTATTTATTATATATATAGCAATTTTATTTATTTATGTTCATGTAGTTATGCGAAGATTATTGAGATGTTTAGATAAATCATGAGATGATTATATTGTGTTATCAACATGAATTTTAAAATAGGTAGAAAAATAAAAATAAAAAATTTAACTAAATATAATGTAGTAAACATATTTACATAAATTTTAATGCTCATCGGAAGTCTATCAATAACTTTAATTTCATCTGCATAATACCAACCATCCATGCTATAATAAATAGTTGTATTTTCAAGATTGTAAGTTGTAGAATATGAAGGTAATGAGATAGCTAATTCTGTTTCATCTCCAATCGAAAACCCTGAATAGTAATAATAACAACTTATAAAAATTAACAACTTCTATATTTTTATATCATGTTCATGTATTTGTATTATATCTACACATAACTTGTGTATTATATTATAATCATATTTTATATATAAAGTATTCATTTTAATTAATGAAAAATCTTAAAATAATTTAATATTATAATATTATAAAAATTTAATATACTTTTTTATATTGAAATTTCCAAGCATAAAAAGTGAACACTCTAACACTAAACCATTACTGCCTAAATATACTTACATACTATATACATGCATACGGTGTCAAAAAAATTTTTTTTTTGCACGCATGTTTTTCCCATTCTGTATACCATTCTGTATACTGTTTAGTTTTAACTGGATTTTGTCTATTATTTTGATTTTAACCGCTTACAGTAATAATTAGAACTATTTTTTTAATGGTATATGAACTAGTTTTTTAATATACCAATAAAAAGTAAATATATACATATATTTACTTATAAGTAAATTTATACATATATTACTAAAAAGTAAATATAAACATATATTTAAATATACATTTTCAAGTAAATATATACATATATATAGGAAGACACTAGAATTAAATTTAAAAAATTTTTTTTTAGCATTAACTAATAATAATAGTATCAACTAAAATGGTTCGTATTCAAAAAAAAACAAAAAACAAAAAGGCTGGGACAAGAAAGTACGTGTCAACGAAACCAAAGAGGCTGCTGTTTCTCCTAAAATACACAATCAATGAGTTTCCAATAAACCAGCTGACAACCATCATAAATATTCTAAGATACATTCAGTTTTTAAAATTTCCCAGGTAGAACAAATAATAATTTTTTTTTATATTTAAATATACTATAAAAATTAAAAATGGTCTATTTTGTTCATTACACATTTAATCTAATATCCACCCCCACCCACCTCCTTCTGTTTAAAATAAGACACAAATTGTGTCTCATTGTCTAATTGTGCCTGACTGTGTCACACAATCAGGCAAAAATACGAACAAAAAAACTATAATGATAAGTACTTATCTATTTTTATTTTAGATCAATAAGATTTCAATCTACAAAATTGATAGTAGCCTGGCCTCAGAAGCATGAGAACAGGAATCTGATCTGCAAAGATCAGCAAAGATTATTAATAAAGCAGCGTTTCAAGATTTTATTATTAGTGATAATGAAATCTTGAAATATAAAGTTACTAAAGCATGAGAACAGGTCCATAATAAGTACATAAATCTGCATCATCCTCAAATCATTGAATTGGAACTCTACCGATGGCAACTTCTCTAAGATATAGAATGAGTTTTTAGAGGAAAGTAATACACTCTTTGATATTTGATTGGCAAATTTTGAACAAAAAATAAGTTAGGATTCTTTTTGTTCTAAGAATGCCAAAAAAGAAGTTCTATCTAGATAAAAAAAGGAGTGCAAAATATATATATTGCAGAAGAACTGGATGAAGTATTACAAAATCCAGTTAAAAATAAAAATTTTTGGCTCAAGAGGATGGAGAAGGTAAAAGTAGAATCACAATTAATGCAAAAAAATTCAATGAACTTGAGCTTTCTTTTCATTCATCTGGAATTGATTATGAATAGGATCTTAAATTCTCAGATGATGAGAACTTACCTAATAGATTCAGTCATTCTACTAAATCTAAGATAATGATAAGTATAAGTGCTGGTAGACTGTACTGCTGCAGTTTCTACCTGATACAGAGTAGGTATACTCACACAAACTTGATTAGTAGCTGCTATTTGCAATAGAGCTAGTGTAAATCTAGAAGATATTAATTTATCAAGTAGTACAGTCTATAGAAAGAGATTCAAGAGGATTGAGATATTAGGAGATAGGCAAAAAACTATAACTACTCTGAAGAGAAAAAAGCTATGTGATCATTTTGATGGAAAAAGAATAAAACAGTTTGAAGAAAATCTAAAAATAACTGTTTCTGAAGAAAGAATAGCAGTCAGTGTTACATTCCCGGATATAAATTACACAAATAACATACTGTTAGGTGTTAAATCAGACACCAAGTTCCAAAGGTAGTGACCAGGCTGAAGGAATTTTGAATCTGCTAGAATACTATGACATTGTAAATCAAATATTTGCTGTTTGTTGTGACACTACTGCATCCAATACTGGAATACACTCTGGACTGTTGTTATCTTAGTTACATTCTTAATATTCCACTTATATGGTTTCTGTGTAAAAGAAATATACTAGAAAAACATATCTCACACTTTATGGAGGCTTTGACTGGAGAGAAGAAAAAAGGCCCAAGGAAAGAGCTGTATGTCAAATTTCAGAAAAACTAGTGTTAATTCAAGAAATAGGTTGACAAGATGATAGACTTTATGGAATGGCTAAGAAAGCAAGAGCTTTCTTAGCAATTTCATTAAAGGGTGACTCAACCTAAAGCTAACTCCAATCAAATCTAACTAGGTCTTTTATCTTTTAAGTTGTCTGTCAATCATTATATTGCTCTATATACTTAATCTTTTCTCTTTCAGTAACTTCCAACTCTAATAGTGGTTGCTTGCAAGCAACCACTTGTTGTTGGAAGCAAAGATGTTATAAAAAAAAAAAAAGCTCTACAATTTGGAAAAGAAGCCTTTGCTTCAAAAACTTTTGTAAGGAGTGATTACAGAAAACTATTCAAACTTTTTGTTTTCTTTTTGGGAGGAGAAGTACATGGACTTTGTTTTCATTAAACTGGAGCCTGCCATGAAGCTAGGTACAACATATTAAAAAAAAAAAAAAAAAGCGTAAGTATAATAAATAACACACAAATAAAAAAATTTATTATAAATAAATACTAAATATAAATAAATATGACAAAATCTTACTCTTTAGGTTTATGGATGATGCTTTATACATTCTTACTCTGAGAATAACAGATAAGATCACAATGATTATGAGTGAAGTGGAAAAAAAAAATAGAGACAGCAGCCTTTTTCACATCTGTCTGGTATGCACCTTGATTTTTCAAAATCATATTTGGTTGAAAATTCACCCTTGAATGATCTAGCCACTTTCAAGAATGCTTTTTGCATCAAAGAAAAATATCCCAATTATGGTTAAGCATAACTGAACTTTACTAAATCCATTACTAAACACATAACTGGTACTTGAATGAACAGTCAAGTACCAGTTGCTATCTCTGGCTGACGAAGATGTAGAGTAGCAATTCAAGAAAGAGATGTTGGATAGATTAGTTTAGTATGACATTTCTGACAATTTCAAGATTGGAAAACCTGAGCTACCAATCATACCGGAGACCCCTGAGCTTTGAAGACTGGTAGGTCCAGAAAGGTGGCTCTTGTTGATAACTACATAAGTTCTTGGTGGTGAAGTAGAGCTGTGAAGAAAGGAAAAAGCTACAAAGTGTAAACGATTGTACATAGAGAAACATAAGCCTTATTTAGGACTTTGTAAGTGGATACATAACCTTTGTTTACCCATTTGGGATATCATATTTTTTAAGTTGTTCTTTATATATGCAATTTCAAAAGTCTTTATTATATCCCTGATTGCCAGCATTTTTACCTTTCAATCAGGCATCTTCATTTTTCCTTCAAATTAATGAGATATAGATTCTAAACTTTATAAATTTTTATTTCCTTTATAGACATTAAACTGATATTTTAATTTGTACTGTAATACAGATTAAAAAGGCAATAGAAATAAAAATGACAATTAGGATAGTTTGATTCTTATGAAACCATTTTAATTGATAGATGTTGCACTACAACTTTAAAAATATTTGCATTCTATGCAGTCTTTTAATGAAGTGTTTGATTTAGTTGCAAATATTTTGAAAACATTTGCAACAAAAAACATTGTTTTTAAAGAGTTTGTAAACAAGGGAAATGTAAATTCAAAGTTTCGTTATTAGAATGGAATTTTTGGCAAAAAATAATTAAGGAATATAATAATTGGTAGAGACAAAATAAAATATAAATATATATATATATATACATATATATATATATACATATATATATATATATATATATATATATATATATATATATATATATATATATATATATATATATATATATATATATATATATATATATATATATATATATATATATATAAATATATAAATAAATATATATATATATATATATATATATATATATATATATATATATATATATATATATATATATATATATATATATATATATATATATATATATACAGTATGCAAAAAAAATAATCGTACACTTGAACACTTAAAGATTGCATCAAAAAAATTAGTTTTTCATTAAAATACTTGAAAATTTTTTTTAGATATCTTATCAAGTTTTGATTTAAGAATTTATTTGCGTATTGGCGAGTTGATTGCTTTTCATACCTATTAAATTTTACACAATTGATCTAATGATGGATATAATTGACTGCAAAAAAAAAAATCGTACAGTTCAAAAATATGACAAATTGATCAAACTTCATGAAATTTAGTATCGAGTGGGGCCTCATTTGGCCTTGATGGTCTCAGCTAGACGATTTGGCATTGAGTTGACCAAATTTTGGGTTTCTTCTGTTGTTATATTATCCCATAGCTTCTTTTAAGCCGTCTTTTTGTCTAAATGCTCGGTCACCAATTTTCTGTCCAAAATATACCACAAATTTTCTATAGGATTTAAGTCCGGACTTTGAGATGGCCATTCCATAGTATTGATGTTATTTGTGTCAAAGTATACCTTTGTTTTCTTAGCAGTATGTTTTGGATCGTTATCCTGCTGTAGTATAAAATCCTTTCCCATTCTCAATTTTGTAGAAGATGGTCGCAAGTTGGCTTTAAGAATTTCACAATACATTGAAGCATCCATTTTTTCATCAATAATCATCAAGTTCCCTACCCCTTTCCAACTCATACTACCCCAAACCATCATATTTCCTCCTCCATGCTTTACACTACCTCGCAAATAACTTAATTTATAAGCTTCTTCTTTTTTTCGCCATACATTTTAAACTCCATCTGATGAGACAAGGTTGAATTTGGACTCATCCGACCACAAAATTTTTTTCCAATAAGATATCGGCATTTTTTCGTACTTCTTTGCAAATTCTAATCGACGTTTCATTTTGAAGTTAAAAAAGGTTTTTTTCGAACTACTCTACCTCTATATCCTTATTCTCTAATACGATTTCTAATTGTTTGAGGGGTTACTGTGATATTGTGATCTTCTTGAACTTTTAAAGCTAATTTAGCTGCCAAAACAAATCTATTTTTCTTAACATTAATGATGATATTGCGATCAATTGCACTAGTGGTCTTGCGTTTTCATCCTCTGCCAGCCACACTAGCAACAGTTTCAATCAGATTATGCTTCTTAACAATTGAGGACACTGTCAAAAAAAGGAATTTTCATAAAAGAAATTTCTGTTTCTTTTTGGATCTGACAGTAGAATTTTCCATGATTTTTCAAATCAAATACGAGGTTTCACTGATGGAAAGACAAAAATAATTTTCTTGACTTTTTTTTGCTGAAACACTATATTTTATTTTATTTTTAGTTTAAAAAATCACAATCTTCAATTTTACATACTAGTTTGATTGATCAATTCGCTAAAATAACCATCTATTTTATTAGCATACAATTATTTTTTTTGCAGTCAATTTTATGCACCAATTGTGTAAAATTCAATAGGCTAATAAGATCTGAAAATAAAAATTTAATGTTTCAACAGACAACTTATTTTTTTGATGCAATCTTTAAAATTATATTTTTTTTTTAGTGTACAATAATTGTCGTAAGAATTCCTGTTTCTTTTTGGATCTGACGGTAGGATTTTCCTTGATTTTTTAAATCAACTATGAGGTTTCGTTGATGGAAAGACAAATGTTGTTTTCTTGACGCCATTTTGCTGAAACACTATATTTTATTTCTAGAACAAAAGTGTATTTAAAAAATTATTATTTTTAATTTTACTAACTAGTTTAATCGTTAAATTTGCTCAATTTATGCTAAAATAACGACATATTTTGTCAGCGCACGACTTATTTTTTTTGCAGTCAATTATATGCATCATTAGATCAATTGTGTAAAATTCAATAGGTATGAAAAGCAATTAACTTGCCAATACACAAATAAATTATTAAAACAAAACTTGATAAGATATCTAAAAAAAATTTCAAATATTTTAACGAAAAACTAATTTTTTTGATGCAATCTTTAAAATTACAATTTTTTATCAAGTGTACGATTATTTTTTTTGCATACTGCATATATATATATATATATATATATATATATATATATATATATATATATATATATATATATATATATATATATATATATATATAATATAAGACAAAAAAGCTTATATACTAATAGAATGTTCAAGTAAAGACCATAGAAAATTATTATCATTTAAAGAAAGTACAAAACTGACACAAAAGAAACAAACACTAAATTTGTGCCAGAAAACGAAACACACTGCTATATAAAATTAGTCAATGCTCTTCTAAAAGAAATGAAAATAGACTCTGCTGATGCTATCTTAGAGCAAAAAAAATTTCAAAGACAAAGAAATTTTGTTTGCTCTAAGATAGAGCAAACAAAATTTCTTTCCCCCCCTCCCTCGCATTTTGCAATACGCTTTTTTGAGTATCCTTCACCTTCCTAAAAGTACCTACACTTTAAACTTATTTATCTAACGTTTTATGATATTTTTTTAATTTAGTGTCTTCTTTCTTTTATAATTGACAATTGACCTACTGCCCTCCAATCTTATATACGTCATTTGCAGACCCCTCTTCCCCTCCGAGCATACGTACTTTATGGATGATCCCTTAATATTAATGCAAAAGTTGAAAAAGCAATAGTATAGAAATATCCTTATGATACAAAAATAAAAAAGTTTGAAGAAAAAGGCCATTATGCCATTATTGATTTTCCTGCTAATAGATATTCTGATGATGTTGCTTCTAAATCAATGTTGACTATTGATGTATTCAATAATGATTAAAGAAAATAAAATCTGTTTTGAAAAATAAAAATTCTTGAAGATCTCTACAAGTTTAGTCACTTTAGGAACAATGGTACAAACTTACAGATTTTAGAAACAGTATCTTTTAAAAAATCGAAACAACTGATCAACTATTGCAATCGTTAATATGTTTGATATATTTAATGCATTGCAACAAAATCCATTTACATAGGTACTTAAAATGATAGATTGTTCAACTGCAGTTCCAGCAATATTAGGAGGTAAAATAAAGAAATTAATTTAATTTCCATTTTTTTCACAAAAAGAAAAAAAAAACAAAGAATAATGAAAGAAAAAAAACTATAGCTGCTTGAACCTAAACCCTCAGTTGATGTAGCAGCAACTCACTTTCTTATTCTCCCTATACCAGTCAATATATGCACTGAAGTTTCCAGCAGCTTCTTATTATAGTATTACATACAATTATATTTAAATACATAAATATAAGTATATAAAAATATATATTTATTAAAATGATTGTAATATATACAATCAGATAATCTGAATGTAAATCAATGCATAATTATAAATAAACATACCTAAAAAGTTAAAAGTATCACCAACTTCTTTTATTGTCACTCCATATGACCCTTCAGGTATTTCAGTAAGAAAGTATTGACCTATTTAAATAAAAATTATATTTCTAAATATTTTGAAGAATTAACAAAATGCATTGAGCACACTAATAATCAAACATAAAAATCATTTTTCTGAAACAATCATTTATTAAATATCAAGATATATCATATAATCACCTATAAATGATCAAGATATATCATATAATCATCTATTAAACATTAAGATATATCATATAATTACCTATTAATGATCAAGATATATCATATAACCATCTATCAATGATCAAAATATATCATATAACCATCTATATTGATCAAGATACATCATATAACCATCTATCAATGATCAGGATATATCATATAATCATTTATTAATGATCAAGATACATCATATAATCATCTATTAATGATCAAAATATTTCATACAATTATCTAATAACGATCAAGATAAATCATATAATCATCTATTAGTTATCAAAATATATCATATAATCATCTATAAATGATCAAGATATACCATATAATCATCTATTAATGGTCAAAATATATCATATAATCATCTATTAATGGTCAAGATATATCATATAATCATGTATTAATAGTCAAGATATACCATATAACCATCTATTAATGGTCTATATATATTATATAATCATGTATTAATAGTCAAGATATATCATATAAAGACATCTATTAATGGTCAAGATATATCATATAATCATGTATCAATGATCAAGATATACTTATCATATAGATATGATTCTATTTCATATAATCATCTATTAATGATCATCATATAATATATTTACCTAAGTCACTAATTCCCTGATAGTGTAACACTGACATAAGGCTCAATTTAATTTTTTAAAAGGTCCTAGACAAAATGTCTGATCAAAACTTGTTTGTGTTGGACAGTATCAAATCAAATTTTTAAAATATAATTTTTACGGTTTTATGGAACCAAGTTATGTAGTCAAAATCTTTGTCATGTTATTCAGTTTATTTAACGTCAGTCTAGTGAAGTTGCAGTTTCTTTCCTTTTTATTTAAAATATTTTATTGCAGATTTTTGCTTTTTGATAAAATAGTTTCATAGTTTAATTTTGTATGTATTTTCAGACTTTTTCATGCTGCAGCTGACAATGCTCATTATTTTTTTCTTTAAAAGTTGTCCACTGCTGTTTTGACATTTTAACAATTTAAGTGCAATAAAAAAAATCGTTATGTTACAAATAACTTTTAATCATTAATCTGTATTAAAGTTTTTATTTTACGCAAAGGCTTTAAATAAAATCAAAAATTAATTATGATTGTTTAAAATAAACACATTATGTGTAAATTAAATGGTACATTGAAGTTTTTTTTGAGTAGATATGCATTTTTTATGATAAATCCAAAACATTTAAAACTATTTTTATGTCTTTCTAAAAATCTTTATAAGGGTTCTTTTTTTAAAAGTTACTTTAAGTCATGAATAAGTTAAAGTAAGTCTTCCCATGATTTAGTTGCTTTGTTTTTTTTGTGTCTATTTTTACAAAAAATTGTTTAAAGGTTTTTTTTTTAAACTTGACTTACTAATTAGAGCATGAAATGGTTAAAAATTATGATTTTAAAAAGACTATGTTATTGTTTTTTCAATTTTTTTCCTAGTTTATGTTTAGTTATAACATTTTTTTTTTTTCAGCACATTTCTAAAACATTTAAATAATTAAAACATCTTATCAGTCGCGGTCAAGTTGTAAAGAAAAAAATCATTTGCGTGGTCAGCAATAGCATTTGATAACATGCTATTCCTGTTCAAGCTTTATTTTGCAGAACTTATTTGTCAAATTGTCCAATTACTTTATAAATTGATTGGACAATCTGACGTTAACTGTACAATGTCCAATGTCCAACTGTTAAATTGAGCCCTGCTGACTGAATGCTTACATATTAATTATGCGGAAGTTGTTTTATTTTTAAGCTTGTTAATTGCTTAAAAAAAATCAGACGTCAAAACAAATTCATTTTATTTAAACTTTATTAACTAATAGAGCTACAATATAGCACGGTGCAGTGGTTAATCAAATCCTTTGGAGCCCTTTTAATAATTACAGCGATTAATAAATAGTTAATAAAAATTAATAAAAAGTAATTCAGTTAATAAATAACTTTTAATTAATAAATAAATAGCTTGTAACATGTCTTATTTTTAAAGAAAGGCCTAATCATTATGGTCTTAATATAATTTATAAAAAATTCTATAATGAAATTTTTTAATTTAGACTTTTTTAACATTTGTATTCAGTCATTTAAATTTATAATTTTAATTCTTTTTCACTTATAAACACACTTATTAGGTGTGCATAATATATATAGGATTTATTTACCTTCACTGACTTCACTTCAAAACAATAAAAAAAATATATATATATCATTTACAAGTGTAAAAAGTTGCTAAGAATGGATGCCACGGGCCCATGAATTTTCTAGTATCATACAATAATTTATTAGTGATTAATATATAAATTAATGATAAATATATATCATATAATCATCGATCAATTATCAAGATATATCATATAATCATCTATTAATGATCAAGATATATTGAATAACCATCTATTAATGGTCAAGATATTTCATATAATCATCTAATAATGATCAAGTCTAAACATCGTTTTACAGAAATAGTCATCTTGTACATAGTTTATCTTACATTTATGTTTATCATTATATAGTAAAAAATTAAAAAAAAAATCATTTTTTTTACTAAATTGAAGTTATAATTGAATAAAAAATAAACTTATAAAAAAAAAATAAAAATAAAATAAGCAATTAAAAAATCTATGAAAATCAATTCAAGTGTTATAATAAATTTGACTAGAAAAATATACCAGCAGATGAATATTCTTCAAAGTTACTTCCAGAGATTAACTCACATGAGTTTCCATTTCCATTACAAACACCACAGCGATCAAAGTATTTATTTGATCCAAGCTCTTTATCACAGCCTACACTCTTTTTGTAAAAAGATGTTTTAAAAACATTTTTATCTACATTATTTTCTACTAATCATTAAGCTCATTTTATAAAACACACACAAAAAAATAGTATTTTGCAAGACTTTTTCTGTATACAAAAAGTTTTTTTTATACAAAAAGTTTAAAAATTTTTCCAAATTCTACTAATAAAGCTCTACGCTTACATAAAAAAAGATACTTCCTCAACAAAATAACTTCTAGGCAGACATTTTCTAAACTTTTACTTTTTCAACTTTTTGGGCCTACTTTTGGCATTTTCAATACTGTGTATAACTATTTTTACATAGTAATACTGTTAAGTCTTGTGTAATGCTGCACCACCCAAATAATTAAAACTTTTATTATCTTTATACTTTTACAATGACATAAACACTGATTTTTTTTTTTATGACATTTTTTTTTGTTGGAAAAACTAAAAAAATGTAATTGAATAAAGAACTAAAAATGTTTTTATTTTTATACATAAAATTTTTAATGTTCCCATGACTAAAATGTGTTAACATTGTACTTATTTTAATTTTTTGTACTAATTGCTTGAAGTAGAAAATCATTTAAATTTGAAATATCTAGCCCATAACATCTTTGTAAAAGCACATAAAATATGTTATAGAACATGGGATGTTAAGAGTAAAATAGTATTGTAATATTATTTTACTTAACTTTTAACCGGAGATTTTTAGCAACAGTTAAAATTATGAATCCCCCTATTCTATTGTTAGTTATATGTACTTATATGCAGATAAAATGGCATTATTTGTTTATTTAATAAATACTCTGTGTTACATAATATGAAATAAAAAGTAAAATAATTAAAAAAAAAAAAAACAATGGATAAAAAAAAGAACAGAAGAAACGAAAAGTGTAGATATCTTTAAAATGAAAAAAATTGAGTCAGGTACTGGAAAGAAGAAATTTATAACCATTTATGGTATAATATAGTTATTTTGCCTTAGAATTTAGTAACAGAACTTTGTATCTCAGCGTAACTCAGTTATTGTGAGAACTTTGTAACTCAGTGTAACTCTGTAATTCAGATATTGTAAGAACTTTGTAACTCAGTGTAACTCTGCCTTGATAATACTCTTCCTACAATAGAAACTATCAAAAAAACAATTACTAGAATAAGATACACTGAACTCCTCGCCTTATTATTTGTCTTAAGACTTATAACCTGGATTTTTATAAGAATTCATATCATTAAAAAGCTATAAAAAGAATTGCATATATGTTTAAGCAATATTACTTCCTATTGCCAGTAGACATTTTTTTGGAAAGGCATATTATCTGATTTAATAAGATGTATCAAGACAGTAAAACACCTGGTTCAGACAATGAGCTCATTAAAACCTGATATAAGTTTGGAATGATCTTAAAAAGAGAGAGTTTTATTGATGAGAATTTAAACTAAAAGACTTGAATAAATAAACAGCATCTGGAGATGAGCAGTTCTGCAAAGATACCATAAACAACAGGATTTACAAAAGGTTAACTTGGTTTGTAGTAGTTTGTTAAAAATAAATTTTTTACCATTATATATGAACATAAAATGTAAAACTAAATTCTGTAATTTTAGAATGGCAAATCAAGAAAGGATTAATTTGGAGCTATTTGAACTATCTTTAATAGCAGTTTCATGTTGCTAAATATTTCAAAATGATTTACTTTTTTAAAATTATATTTACTTTTTAAAGATACATTATAGTCAAGGCAATTATTTTTTTTTTATTATACTGGTCTCACAATCCTATAACTGACGAAGATAAGCATTGACAATGTTGCCAGTCAAAAAAATAAGTTACACAGAGTACTTCCAAGAAGTTGATTGGATTCCTAATGCTAGAAAAGCTTTAACACTACAAGAAAATTTATAGTTTCTAAAAGAGTGAAAATCTTGTATTATCTTTGGTATTCTAAGATTTTATAAAACTTATATTTTATAAAACTATTATAACACCTCATAAATAAAATTTTGGACAAAATTTAAAAATTAATATTTTAAGAACTAATAAGTTTTATTACTTAATATTTCAACTGTTAATATGTTAGTATATGCACTTTATAAATATATTAAAATAATTATTTCAAATACCATATTTAGCAATATTTTAAAGAGAATATTTTTCAATGTTTTTGAAAGATGTTTTATTTGAGTAAGGAAAATTTCTTTATTCATCTTTGAATAGCAATATCTAATTCTTGCTTCAAGCTCTTCCAAATTCTCAGCTCTCCAATTATTCTCGTACACTAGCCGTTTTAAATCACCCCAAAAGTTTTTAATTGGTCTTGTCTCTAGAATGTTAGTTGGGTTTATATCTTTGAGTACAACTTTGATTTTTTTCAATTTTAAAAAGTTGATGACCAACTTTGCATAATGTGATCAAGCTAGATCAGGCCAGAAGATAAACTTATTGTCTTTTTTATAATACTATGATACTAAAGAAAGTAAAGTTTTTTCTAGTATCTCTTTATAAGTGTACTGGTTGATTTCCTGCTTACTGTGATGAATATAAAGAGGGCTTATTCCACGGGGGCTAATGCAACAAGAAACTAAGAGCTTGTCTTCGTACTTTTTATGCAAGTTGTATCTTACTTCGTCAAAACATTGAGAAGGATCAGCGGCATAAAACCTATCATTACCAGCTAATGTGCTATTGTTTAAGGTAAAAGAGCTTTCATCATCCATAACAAAATCCAAGTTTTTATAATATTCATACAATTTACAACATTTAGGACGCATAGCTTTCTCCTGCTGATGGCTACAATCTGGTCTATTCGTTTTTTTGAAAGTTTGAATGTTAGTCATCATTTTTAATACTTGGGAAATTCGAGTTTGACTACAGTTAAAAACTTGAGCTACTTTCTTTTGGGAGCACCCTGACTTTTCAAAAAATGCAGCAATCTTTGGAATATTTTCTTTAGTAGCTACCTTAGCGATTCGACCACTCCCAATTTTTCTTTTTAGAGATCCAATCTCCAATTTTACGATTTTATTGTAAGCATTTGATCTGGGTAAACCCCATTCCATAAACTGCTTAGCAACAAATGATTTACCTTTTTCTCGATTTTTTTGGAAAAAAATTTCCATCATTTTTTCGAGGTCCTTCATTTTGACCATTTTATTTTTAATATTTAAATAATATTTTTAACTTAATTAAATTAAATTTAAATATATTATAAAATCCTTTTTCAAATAAGTATAAAGGTTTTTTGCGTGCATAAAATAAATTACATAATAAATGCAATTAAAATTTGTCTAATTTTATTTATAGGGTGTTAACTTTTTATGTTTTATAAACAATTGAAAAGATAATTGGAAAAATAACAAACCTGACAAGTTCCACCAATACAAACATCATTACTACTGCTGCCAGGGATACATTCTGTACCATCTTCAACATTACCAAAATAATATGCAGAAGTTCCAATCATACAAATAAGTTTGCACGGCTTTTCCTCTGAAAATGTATTTGTATATAAATTTATATTTTTTAACACTTTATTATTTAATAAAAAAATTAAAAATGTTTTATTAATTTTAAAAATTAATAAAAATTAGTATTAAAAGATAATTATTCAAGTAAACATATTTCATAAACTTTATTATTAAATAAATTAATTCAATACTTATTAATGTAAATTAATTCAATACTTATTATACTCAATACTTCTTATATATAGCATTAATACTTAGTTAATATATATTAATTAAGTATTCATGCCATATATACAAACGTGATCTCCAAATGTAATTATTATTTTATTGAATCAGAAGGTCTGAGGTTTAACGCTTTGATGCTAAAGTTTTTGCTACCCGGCAAGCACACTACCACTACACCACTACCACATGTACACTTGAAGTTAACAAGTTTGTTATAAAGTATATTACTAGATATTCCTTCAACCTAAAAAATACTTTTAACCTAAAAGAAATAGTTATTTTTTGTACAATGAAATGAAATCAAAAATAAATAATTTTTTCCAGCATAATTAAAACTCTATATAGTCTATTCTAGTATTTCATCACTAAAAACTCTGAACTCTGGTTAATTGACTTAAAAATAATAAAAATAACAAAAAATTGGAATTATAAAAAAAGGGTGATTTAAAAAACAACTTTTTATGAAAATGTTTGCTGGCACCTTCTAAATATGCTCTCTATATAATTAAATAATCCAGGATTCCTTCACGTGGAAATATTATCCAAGGAAATTGTAGTGTTGCAATCATTATTACCCAATGAGCATCAACTAATTGTTAATTTTTGTCCAGAGAGAAAAACAGAGTGTTGCAATCATTACAATATTAACTTGAGATTAATATTGTAATGATTGTATATCTGCTGTTTTGGATTTTATAATGGCAGGAAACAAGTAAAATTTAGCTTTTTGAGAACATATTGTAAAAGATTATAAGAAAGGAGTCAAATAAAAAGAAATTACAACAAAATACTTCATTAACAAGTCAATTGTATGACGAATAATCAAACGATTTATTAAAGGCAGTCATTTAGAAACAGAACATAAAGGTGGAAGACCACTCAAAACATTTTATTTCACCAACAGAAAAATTATTCATCATGTTAAAAAGAAGTGGTTTCTCATGCTGATAATAATATTTCTCTTTTATGGACATTTAAACAAGCCCAAAAACACCTCTAAACTTGTTAAAGAATGGTTTGGAACAAATCAAATTAAAGTAATAAAATGCCCAGCTTATTTGCTTCCTTTATCTTGTTTCCTAATTCATTCAACTTGTAATCTTTTAAGTCGTCTGTTAGTCATTGTCTTGTTTTAAAAACTTCATCTTTTCTAGTAACACTTTGAAAAAACACTTTAAAAAAACTTTATTTGCATTGTTGAGATTTAAATGAATATCAAATTTATGGAAAAGGTCTATTGGCAATTTCATCTTTATTTTTGACATATAGAGAAATATATAGAGCACTGTATATATGAAATATATAGAGCACTGTATATATGATTATATATAGATTATATAGAGCACTGTATATATGATTATATATAGATTATATAGAGCACTGTATATATGTATATATTTACTATACCGTATATCTATCAGCAAATGCTTACTAGTTTTGCTTATCTTTATACCTTACAGCTTTTTAAGAAAGAAAAAAAAGGAAAAAAAATGAAAGAAAAGTTAGTTGCCCCATGCCAAACACTTAGTCGATGTAACGGCAGTCCTTTGCAGCAGCAGGCTATAAGATAGTTGATATATGTACTAATCACAGTCCCTAAACACATATTTTAATACTCTACTCACCATTAAAAACATCAACATAATCAGAACCAATTTTTAGACATTGTTTTAAGCGAACAGATTGCGTTGTCAAACAATCCTGAATAGAGAAGACAAAAAAAAACCTAGCATTTTAATTAAAAATATTAAACAGCAAATTAATTAAAAATATTAAACAAAAAACTATATATCTACAAATTTGATTGATGTAAAACATTTTCATTAACTTTAAAAAAATAAAAAGCTTTTTGAAAAATTTAAAAAGAATCCATTTTAACAGGTCAAGTCAAAATCAACTCCAAAATTCTTTTCAAGTCTTTCAACTTTCCAAAAAAAAAACTTATAAAATTCTATGATAAAACTCATACAAATAAATAACAATTCATTTACAAAAATAAAAACAAAATTGGGTAGTCATACACTGATGACCAAAAAAAATAAATCATGTCAAATTAATGATGACCAATGATAATGTATGATCATCAATTCATCAATGTTGAACTGATAAATATGACGGCTCTTAAATTATTGTTTTGTTTATCAATGTAATACTAAATTAGGACTACTTCTACTACAACTAAAACTCAGAAGAGGCCATCTTGTGGAGAAGAGGCTATCTTGTGGAGAAGAGGCTATCTTATGGAGAAGAGGTTTGTGGAGTTCTTCTTATTTCTAGATATACTTATTAAAATAACCATAAAACAAATGCATTAAAAAATAATTCAGACCTGTTTATTACATGTTTTATATTGACCTTTTGATTCACCAACACAGTTCAGTCCACCATTTGCTGGGCTTTATATGAAAAAGAAATAATTTCAAAAAGAATTAAAAAAAAAGAAAATAATACAAAACATTTAAGTGACAAAATACTTGAAAAATTTACATAATTAAAATTAAAAATTAAAAAGTAAAAAAACTTAAAACTTGCTGACATTAAAATTTTTAAAATATTAGTATGAAAAGCAATCTATGATATGTCATAAATAAATATTTAATCAAATATGTTATTGTTTTTAATAACAAGTTGTTCTCACATCAGTTGCAATTGCAAACTTATGGAGCAAACTGTTAGAAAGGTCATGGCTAATGTTTTCGTTAAAAATGAGGTTTTATTGGTTTTGTAAAAGAAAAATCATGCTCACTAAACAAACTCAATGTTGATTAGCTTACTTAAATATTAGCTAAGGTCCTCCCACCCCCATGACCCCCATGACACTGCTTATATGACTCAAATAATTGGGAAACATTTGTTAAGGTCATTCTTACGTTATTGAAGATAAAGAGATGTGGCTTTGATGACATTCACACTCAGGCTTTGATAGAAGTCAGATTATATTAGAATTACATTCTCACTCCAGATAGAAAATGATATAAAATAAATTAATCATAGAAATAATAACACTAGTAGAAAAAATATCTAAAATAGTCACTATTCATAAAAATACTTTAATAAAAATTATTTGAAAATGATTAATCACATTAATAAATTATAAATAAAAGACAAAAAAAAAAAAAAAAATTAGTTTTGTAATTATAAACTAAATTTAAATAAAAATAAAACAGTCTTACTTCTTGTATCAATTTGTGAATGTAGAAACTTACTTTTATTTCTACATTTAGTAACCATTCTGGCTCTTTTATTTAAAAAATTGTCATTTTTGTATGTTAGTAAATGACACTTTGAAAAGCATAAACATTTCTAATTGATAAAAGAATTAGTTTGGCTGGCATTTATATGTTTTAAAGGAACTTCAATTATTCTAAAATAATTTTTTTTTTCTTTTATCTCTAGATTGCTTGTGTATAAAATAGGATGTTTGTTAATTTTCAGAAATTTTTCCTAGAAACTAAATCTGCCCTAAATTCTAACATTATCATTATTAAAAATAAAATTACTAAAAATAATATTAAAACTTTATTATAAAGGCTTTTGCCTTTCACAATAGCTCAAGCATTATTGGTATTGTGTTCCAGCAAATTATTTACATCAAGATGAAGTTCAATTTCTTTTTCAATTATACCCTTAACTATTGATTAAAAAAATTGAAAAACCTGATTTTGAACACTTAACAGCTTGATGTACTTTATCAACTTGTGTGAGTTCTTAAGTAAGTCATTGTAGTCATCTTACGAATATCATCTTACCACTCATCATTTTAAAACTTCAAAATTGGTGCCTTTATCAAAAGAATCATTTTCATTAGTATCATTATCACATGTGCAGCTTAAATCTTCAATATCATGTTTTTCTTAAAAAGTGCAGCTTAAATCTTCCATAACTTTTTTTTTTTAAAAAAAAGTGTAGCTTAAATCTTCAATATCATGTTTTTTTTTTAATAAAGTGTATCATATACTCCAAGAGGTAGAAAATGATTTAGGCAAAATTGAAAGTTAACATCTAAATTTCAAATGTACTATTTGTTTTCAGATGCACCATTTTTTTCATTGATACTCCTAAAACACTTAGATATTGTTTCATTATTTCAACCATATTGAGTGCACTGCATGAACCCAAAATCAAGATAATCTTGATTTATACATAATATTGTCAGTTTCAACAATATTAACAAATTATCTTTGCCCTCTTAAAGTAGTAGCCCTATTAACAGTCATGCTAAACTTTACTTTATTGGCTACTTTTAATTTTATGGTATCAATCTTTTTTTTTTGCACTTCATCAAAATCTTTGTACAGAAGTTTTATTAAATTGCTTTCATTAGCCAGAAGTTTAAATACATCTTGAGCTATTGACTAACAAATGTATTTATTTCTGGTTATAGCTCAAATCAAAATGCCATTCATAGCCAAATCAGAGACAATATTTTTAAGATTCTTTTGAACAAAGAAATTGCTAACATTTTTTGTCTTTTTTAACTTGCTCTCTCATCTGTTAATGTGATCGTTCTGTTGTCTTATCTATACAAATTCTTTGACTTTTTATGATTTTCAAAGGTAGAATTTCCTAAACATTTTATTATTTTGTAACAATACTGATTTTCCAGACTGATAAGGGTATGAATGGAAAATAAAAATATTAAGTAGCCCGTTTACCAACTGTTACAAAAAAATAATAATTGGAAACAATGCAACTATTTATAAGTTAATGTAAATAAGAAACTGGTGCTAGAAGCTCTATTTAAAACTTAGGAAACTCATAAGAAACTTTTAGTACTAGTAAAATAGAACCATTACAATAATAAACTCTCTAGTACTAGCATGTGTGCTTAGTTTTCTGTTTATAAAAAAATGTCTACAACTAAACAAAAGCTATTTGTTAAAGTTACTTTTTATCAAAAAACTATTTATTAAACTGCTATTAAAAATGAAAAAAAAAATCAAACTACTTTTAAATTGCTTTAACAAATGTGTTCTTAAAGAAAAATTTCTTTTAGAAATTATAATATATTATTTTTTTTATTTGAAATTTTCATCTCAAAATATTCGAATAAAATTTTTTTAACATTTTCATATTTGAATAAAACTTTATGCAGTTAAAATTCAATATAATATTTAAATAGAGTTTAACCATTTTCCGAGATTTTAAGTTTTTTGTGGGTTTTTAATTAAAAAAAAACAACAACAGAAAAACAGTCATTTAAAAAACAACTGTTTGCTGTTTTATATTTTTCTTAAAAAAACAGCTGCTTTACTGTTACTGTTAAACAAACAGCTGTTTTACTGTTGCTGTTAAACAATGTTCAGAAACTCTAGTTATTAGAGAATAACTAGGGTTTCTAAATGTTAAAATTTTGTAATGAAATGTTAAAATTTTGTAATGAAAATAATGTTGAAATTTTGCAATTAGAAAATTTTATTCTTTAATATGACATTAGTTATTGCATTTAAAGAAGGTGACGTATTATTATTTAAAGTTAAATTTAAAGGTGACGTATTATTACTTAAAGTTAAATTTAAAGAAGGTGACATATTATTATTTAAAGTTAAATTTAGTTATGAAAAGTAAACAAGTTTACTTAATAAAAATAATAAAATAGAATAAGAAAAACAGTTGAAATTTAGCATCCATGAACTAATCATCAAAAGCAAAATATGAAAAAAAAAACACAACTATAATTCAACAATTATTATGAAACAATCTATTAACAAAAGTGTACTACAAAAATCTACTAACAAAAGTGTGCTACAAACAATCTACTAACAAAAGTGTACTACAAACAATCTACTAACAAAAGTTTGCTACAAACAATCTACTAACAAAAGTGTGCTACAAACAATCTACTAACAAAAGTGTACTACAAACAATCTACTAACAAAAGTGTGACAAACTCCATTATTTAATAATTCACTACAATTCAAAGTAAACAACAAACCTAACTAATTAATTTACTAAAAGTTATACAATAATCTAAAAGAAGAAGTAAGAAAGTAAAATATAAATAAAAATAAAAAAAAGCATGAGACTGGTGGAATAAAAGAATCAAGTAGATTTTCTTTTTTATTATTACATGTTTATTTAACTTTATTATTTGTACATTTAGTTATATTTATTATTTTCCTTATACTTTTAAACTCTTTCTTCAGTACTTTTATTTTGTTTAGATGCTTTATTAAATATTACATGATATATTGTGTCTCTTCTATGTTCTATTGTGTACACATATTGTGTTTGTACTAACTTCTATTGTGCATATATGTTGAGTCCTTTAACATGCAGGCACAATTGACTTCAATAAAGCTTATTAAGCTCAGTCTTTACTTCTAACAACTTAACACTGCTACTTAATATGAATTTACTGATTTATATTGAATCTAGTACTATTTCTTGTAATAATTTGAACAATCTTTAATCCTACCTACTCGACTAACAGTGGAATCTCAAACACTTATTGATGGCATCTTTATCTAATTTTACACTTCTGATCATCTCTCAAATAACTTAACTAACTTCATTTCATATTAGATGAAATAATTTGTCTGTTTTCTTGGTACAGCCAGCCAACCAATAAAGTTAAAACTTCTATGCAATGTTTAAATACTACCGATACTACCATTTATTCTTGTCACAATAAAAAGCCAACTCCCTCTGATTGCTTGCAGGGGGCATCTGAGCTTGAAAAGGATCTCACTTCTGCTACAGCATGGGGCTCACAGTGGCTGGTGAACTATAATTCAGATAAAACTCAATTTTTTTCGGCTAATCGTTATCGCAATAATTTAGACCTTCCTATATTTATGAACAGTAATGTACTCAATGAGTCTCCTACCCTTCATCTTCTAGGATTAACTCTTACTTCTGATCTTTCTTGGAAACCTTATATCAAATCCGTTGCAAAATTAGCATCTGCTAAAGTTGCTTCTATTTATCGAGCTCATCACTTTCTTACTCTGGATTCTATTCTCTATCTCTATAAATCTCAAATCCGGCCTTGTATGGAATACTGTTGCCATATCTGGGGCGGATCTTTTAATGATGCCCTTTCTCTTTTAGACAAGGCGCAAAAACACATTGTAAACATAGTTGGACCTGCTCTTGCAGCCAACCTTCAACCTCTGTCACATCGTCGCAATGTTGCTTCTCTTTCTCTTTTCTACAAATACTATAATGGGCACTGCTTGAAGGAGCTAGCGTCTCTTGTGCCATCTACTAAAATTCATTCTCGTGTTATTCGTCATTCAATTAAGTCTTATCCTTTTTCTGTTACTGTTCCTAAGTGCTCCAAAAACTCTTATTCGTCTAGTTTTTTCCCTCGAACATCAGTTCTTTGGAATTCGCTTCCTTCGTCTTGCTTTCCTGATTCATATAATTTGCAATCTTTTAAGTCATCTGTCAATCGTTATCTTGCACTACAATCTTCATCTTTTCTCTTCCAGTAACTTCCAACACTAATTAGTGGTTGCTTGCAGCCTTGTTGGAAGCGAAGATAATTTAAAAAAAAAAAAAAAAATTTTTTTTTTTTGGGAAATTTTAAAACCAACTGAAATCTCCTGATTAGAAAATGATAATTGTGATATTAATCGGACAATTGCTTTAAAATCACTTTATAAAAAAAAATGTAAAATGGTAAAATAAAGGTTCACTAAAGGTAAAATAAAGATTTACTGAAGGTAAAATAAAGGTTTACTAAAAGTAAAATAAAAGTTTACTAAAAGTAAAATGAAGGTTTACTAAAGGTAAAATAAAGGTTTACTAAATATAAAGTAAAGGTTTACTAAAGATAAAATAAAGGTTTACGAATTTAAGCAATTACCAATTTAAGCAAACTTTTAAAAAGGCTATATATAATTCATTACACAAGTTTCAAAAAAACTTTTAATGCCAGTACCAACATCAGGATTCTGAAGCATAGTTGTCACAAAACTTTATTAAAATCACTGAGAAAAATAGAGAATCTCTGAATAACAAGCATTTGGCATATGTTTGTAAATTTCCAAATAGCTTTAAAAATGGTGCAATAGAATTAGAATTATTTCATTAAAATGATTTTGCATCTACACATAAGAATAGTTTGTTTTCATTAATGACACAAAATAATAAATGGATAATTACATATTAAAATTTCAAAATTAATATACTTAATATATTTGATTAAAAATTTTCCTAAAAAAACTTTAGGATTTTTATTTAGAAAATGTTTGCTAAAATTTATTGTTATTAATCCTTTTTTTATTGAAAAATTAAAAAACAAAAATCAAAAACTTAATAAAACCAAATGAATGATTTTAATGAAATTGAAAAAAAATTATTAATTAGTAATAAAATATTAAACAATATAAGTTTTTCAATTTTAATTTTTTGAACAACAAACCTTGGATTATTACAAGTTCTATTCCTCCATTGTACACCAATACCACATTCTTGTGAACAGGGTGAATAACTTCCCCAATTTCCCCACTGCCCATCTACAGGTAACGCAGGTTTTGAACCATCAGGAACACAAGCACCAAATATACACCACTACAACATAAAACAATAGAAACAAAAAAAAAAAAATTAAAACAAAATAAAAATACCTTAAATATATTTTGCAAAAAATACAACTGATTTATACTATAATAATGATAAACATTCATATCTTATAAAAATAAAATTATTATTTATTAATTTATATATTTTATAATATACAAACTTACAATATATATATATATATATATATATATATATATATATATATATATATATATATATATATATATATATATATATATATATATATATATATATATATATATATATATATAATTTATTTATATATCAAATAAATAAAACAAAATTTAATAAATTAGTAAACTGTTTTTATAACTTATACTGTTGCATTAATAGATTGAAAAATTAAATAGAAAGTGTTCAATCAGTTTGTTAAAATATTGATAAAAATTAATAAATAAAATGTTACCAAATAAAAAAATAACTTTACCTTATTTGCTCCACAAGAAGTTCCATGAGCAGGCGGGTAAGCTAGAACGCTACAACTAGTAGAACCACTTTGTTGGCAATATAATTTGTCACAATGAGACTAATAAAAACAAAATGCAATAATAATAATTTATAAAACCAAAAATTATATCAATTACAAATTAATTTTAATAGTATTTATCTATATTCATTTATAAAATAAATTTAAAAAAAAAGAAGATAAACCTCATAAAACGAGCATGATTTATATGAAAAGTCAAAGGAGAACTGACATTGCTTATCTGCATTATAAACTTGTCCATACATTGGAAATACGGAGTTAGTATATAGCTCTGGAGGCATATTGTTTAAACATGAAGATGATGGTGATCTAAATATATATTAAAATACTATTAAAATTGACACAAATATTTTTTATTATTTATTATTATTATTGTTATAACAATTAATATAATTATTATCATTACTTTTACTATTTTCAAAACTACCATAAGTAGTTAAGTTGATAAAGGCAAAAACCTTTTTATTTAATATTTAGTATCAGTATTAAACCTGTATCTTCAGTATCTATCTTAAACTTCCACCTTGAGTTTTCTCTCTTATGCCGCCTCTATCTTTAGATTCCTATTTATTAAATTTCCTCAATCTTGAGCCTCCTCTAAATTAAGTCTCTAACACAAAATCTCTAACACAAAACCTATTTGAAATCTAGAATACTATTCCCCCTCCCTACTCAAGTTTCAGTTTCTACCTCGTATTAAATTAGTATGGAAATAATTGCTTAAGTTTAACTTAAATCATACCTATTAATATGAGAAACTAATGACTTAATTACCTAGTGCAAATGCCATTATAATTTAAGTTAAAACTTGATGTTTTTTTACAATATTTACTATTTATGACAAATATCTTGTAATTGCACATGAGTAGGTATAGTATATCTTGGTGTACAATCTCTATGCAGCTGATATATTTAGGTACATAGAGATTGAAATACTAAAAAAATCATCAAAAAATAAAAAAAGTCATGGGCATCCAATAAAAAAAAAATCATAGATTTAATCAATTGATTTTTTGCATTTATTCAATGCCAAACCTGACTCTGAGATTTGGTTCTACCTGATATTGGAGCCACTCATCATTCCAGATGATTGACCAGATCAGACTGGTTAAGAAAACATTTTTTAACATTAATAATAGTGATCCTCAAGGGAATTCCGGGAACGGTAATTCCCGGGAATCTCGTTGGTCAATTCCCGTTTCTGTTCCCGTTTTTTTCGAGAAATTCCTGGGAATTTTTTAGATTTATTCTTTTTATTGTAGTTTATTTTAAATTACTTTTCTTATCGATTTCTTTTATTTACGCTAAACTAAAGTCAGTTTCACGCTGTTTTTTTTAATTACTTTTCTTAATGATTTCTTTTTATTAACGCTAAACTAAAGTTTGGCGTACTTCTTTAATTATTACTGCTGACCTCGTGTTTGTTTTTTTCTCCATATAAAATTGAATTGTGTTGAAATTTTGATAAATATTAGTTAAAGAAACTTGGAAATGGTTTTAAATTGAATTGTCATCGGGTTCTGAGCTATCTTGAAAGTTTAAGAGCTCTAGCTGGTCGGGAAGCGGGCTTCAAAGATTCTAACCGGACGGACAGACAGACAGACGCACAAGAAAGTAACCTTATAAAAACGTTGTAAAAACGCGTAAAATTAATTAGTAATTAGTTATTCCATTAATTAGTATTAGCATGGAAGTATAATACAGAAGGAAGTTCATCAGGCGGTAAACATCAATGCAATTTCAAGTCTTCCCGGGAGTATGCTCGTAATCGACAATAAAAAAAAAAAGAGTTTCACTGGACAAAAAAACAACAAAAATTCACTGAAATGATTTTTATCAAAACATCAAAAAATGTATATTCCATAGATATGCCACTTCATTTTAACCATTACTTGTTATAATTATCTAACAGAACCTTAATTACAACTTGGTAAATATTTAGAATCACTATATTTCAAAAGCGTATATTAGTAAAAGCAGATTTTCTTGTTTTTAATCATAACACGACATTTGATTAAATAGACTACTTAATAAATTTTTAAAAAAATAAAAAAATTGTTCTGAAGATAACTAAAGATTATAGTTTCGTTGGGTTTATATCATAACTCCATTCATGCTAAATATACTCCATTAATTTAACATAAAGTTTGACAAAATATAGCTTGTTGCCATTTCGTTGTCGCCATTTTTAATTTTTGCAATTGAATATTGTTGGCGAACGGTCAAAGTACTTATTTTAAAATTTTAATAAACGTATCTATTTGCATCATCGTATAAAAATTAAGCGTTTAAGTACAGTCTTGATGTAGTTTTCTTTTGTTTGCGAAACAAAAGAATACAAGCATAGTCCCGAAGATTTTCAAAGCGGTTGAACTTCCATCTGTTTTATACTTCCATGGTATTAGTTATAGTTATTTTTTAAAGTGTAAAGTGCATTGTGCAAGTTTTTTTAAAAGAAAGTGAAAAAGTTATTTACGACAAATTATCAAAGGTAAATTATGTTATTTATTTTTCTAAATCTTTTTCTTTTTTTTTATTTCTTTTCTTTTTTCTTCATTTATTTTATCTTCATATCTTATCATTTAATTTTAAATAGCATGTCTTTTGTGTGGAAGCACTTCAAAAGGGAAACGGGCAACAAAGATAAAGCACGCTGTGACGTAGACAGATTTTACTAGAGCATCGTTTGAGAAAACCATTTCTAAAGAAGTTGCTTTAAATGGATTGAACTTTGAACAGATTGTTAACTCAGATATAATAGCAGAGCATGTGAAAGAGAAGTTTCCAACGAAAAACTTCCCAAAGAATGGATCTGGTGTTGCAAAGATTGTTTGAGGTTTTCATGAAGACATCAAGGCTAAAATAAAATCGTGGATTCAAACTCATCTAGCTGAAGGACATTTCTTTTCAACAACCATTGATGAATGGACTTCTACTGCAGGGCGATGTTTCTTGAACATTAATCTTCATTATTTTGAAAATGGTGTTGATAAAGAAATCAATTTGGGCATGGTTCCAATTCATGGAAGTGCAACTGCTCTTAACATCAAAAAACTAGTAAGTTGATATTATAATCTTATTCTTTTTTTAGGTTTCTAATCATTTTATTTTTTATTATTTTATTAACAGTTCGAAGCAAGATTGATGGAATTTGGTTTGGATCCAGAGAAACACATTGTTGGCACTTCTGGTGATGGTGCGAGCGCTATGGTATCATTTGGTTCTATGATCGCATCAGAATACGTCCAGTGCAGCGATCATGGAATTCATCTGGGTGTTACTAAAGTTCTTTATCTAAAGAAACAGTCAGCAGATACTCCAGTGAATGACGACGACGATGATGTCTTTTTCATTGAGTGTGGAAATGAAGATGAACCTGATGAAGATGTACATGATGCCGGTGAGGATACAGAATCAGACGATGATGAGGAGGCCGATTCACTTCAAATGGTTTTCGCTTATCAATCAACAATCACCAAATTGAGAAAAATTGTGAACCTTTTCCATCGATCATTGGTCAAAAATGAAATTCTTCAAAAGTTCGTTAAGAGGATGAACAACGGGAGAGAACTTAAGCTGAAGTTAGATTCAAAGACTCGTTGGGGAAGCCTTCATGATGCTTGCGAAAGGTTCTTGAAGTTACTTGGACCTGTGAAGGAAGCTCTGAACCACAGGGAGATTGACAAAACCTACTTATGGGCAGATATTGACTCAAAAAGATTGGAGAAGCTGGTAGAAGTTCTGAGTCCAGCGAAGTTGGCAATTCAATTCTTGTCAAAGAAATCAGTAAATCTCATCGATTGCAACACAACTATCAAGTTTCTCTTGGACAATCTAGAAATGCACGATCATCAGCTCTCGCAGGACATCTTCTTGGCAATCAAAGAGAAAATCAACAAACGCAGACATGACGTTCTTCAATCACTCATCCTTTACTTGCACGACATCAACAGCATTAATGGGCCGAATCACTTTGCTACATCAACTGTTGCAGCTATGAGCAAACTTGCTGTGAAATTGATGGAAAGACACTTCAGTACTGAAAATGATGATTGTGTGGAACAACCTAAACAGCAAAAGGAACCATCAGCATCAACATCACAGCAGGTTCAAAGAAGTTTAGCTGAGAAACTGACACTTGCCTTGAAAGCTTCAAGAGAGGTCACCAACAAGCAGTCGGGCAAAGTTATTGACTACAAAAAAGAGATGCAGATGTATGCGAAGACAAAATTACGCTCACCAACTCTGGATAGACTTTTCGAGGGACTGAATACAATACAAGCAACATCAGTAGCTGCAGAACGTCGTTTTTCGGAAGCAAATATTTTTGTGAGCAAAGTTCGCAATCATCTTTGAGACAAGAACATCAATGCTATTTCTTTTCTTAAATGTTATTTCCGAAATAAATTAATAAAGTAGATTCCAACATAAATGTTGAGTCCTTTGTATTGTTTTTTGATTAAAAATTTTCAGGTTTTAGAAAGAAAAAAAATACTGGAAAGCTCATTCCCGGTAACGGTAATTCCCGGGAATGAGCTCTTTCATTCCCGATATTCCCGAAATTGAAATTCCCGGGAATTTGAGGATCACTAATCAATAAGTTAAAGTTGCAGAAATTGTTATGCTGAAAGTTCGAAATTTAGCATGGTATAAACATTAAACAGACCATGTTCTGTTCTGAGATTATAGGGAAAAGAAATGATGGTACAAATTTAATTGTAAAAATTTGATGCCTCAGTACTAAATTAAAAAAAATCAAATTGGTGATGCAAGAGCAAAAAATCTCCATAAATTAACCTAAAAGTAACAACTGAACTACTATGAGATTATTCTTACTTGTGATATGAAAATAATAAAGTAAATTAGATACTATTTCAGCCTAAAAATGTTTGAGTTTGACTTATTTATGGACAGCCAACTAAAAGAACAGATTAACATGTAACAGATGCAGGCAGCAAAGATTATTCTCACAAAAAATGCATCAATAAAAAACTACATTAATAAGCGGGCAGGACTTATTGAGACAATGTCTATTAATAAGAGGGCATAACTTATTGAGACAATGTCTATTAATAAATGGACAGGACTTATTGAGACAAAAAAAATTATAACATGGATAAAAAACTTATAATATAATTTTTTTCTTTAATTAAACCATTTATTATTGAATGGAAAAAACAATCATTAAATTTTAAATTTATTCATATAATAAATAAATCAACTTAATTTCATAATTTTCAAATGGTCTTCATGGCTTATTGTGTGTGCAAATATTGATGTAGAAAGGTACCCCTCTAACCCTTTTTGGTCCAACCCTATTATATCAAACATCAAATATGAGAATTGATCGAGAAAGTGGTACAATTGTAGAATTGAGACTGCAGGTATGTTTATAAAATAATTTTAATACTGCTTCTACTGCATCTGGTTTGGCACAAACATTTTTTTATAGATGCTTTTTATGTATTGATAAAATATCCAGATATAGGGCTTTGATAGCCTTGTCAAATTGCAAATACCATTTTGCATAAAAACATTCTATAAATTCTGTCATGATATTTTTTTTCTAAAAGTAGTTTACCTACTTGAACAAATTTAATTTAATTTGAAATGAGTTACAATTTGAGATAATATAAGGCTTTTCCAAGAAACCATGCATGGAGAGCTCCTGGTTTCCTTATTTTTACAACTCCAGAAGACAAATAAGCAACAACTAGCTTCTTTTTTATAAAAAATTTTCACTTTTGATGTACTCATTTCAAAAATAAGGAAACTCAGTTGCTGAACACTTATTAATAGTAACACTATAAATATCTTTAGGAATTATGAATGTAATTGATTTTATAAAACTTCAAGAGTAAGGAAAGGAAAAAAATGATTCTTTTGGCAGCAAACTATGTCACTTTTAATTATTTGATTTTCATCCAGCTTATCTTGGTTGTTTTAAAACCAAAACAATTAAATTGCTTGCAAATTTTTTCTTTTTTATTAATGCAAAAAGTGTTTTTATTTTTTTAATGCTTTATATCCTGATTATTTGTCAAACCTTGTTTTTCAATACTCTAATTTTTTTGAAACCAGTTGACTATGACAGACAAGAATTTATTTTAGGAGGTCAAAATAGCAATTTTAGTGATTTTTGCTATTTTTATTATTCAGTTTTATTTGTTTTAGTTTATTCTTTTTTAAATTGTTTTTATTGACTGATTTATACATGTAACAATTGAACAAGAAGTGTGTATACATTGACTGACTTCAATTTTTTTTTCCCCCAACATCTTGGCTTTCAAGAAGGCTGCAAGCAACCACTTTTAGAGTTGGAAGTTACTGGAAGAGAAAGTAGCATATTGTAAACATCTAAACTATTTTGAATGCATTTTTAAAACTTAAATGATTTTTTTTCAATTAGAGTATAACAGGCTTGGCCAGGAACGCGTGCAATTTCATGTCAGTGGTCAACAACAACCCAAAATCACTAAAATTGCTATTTTGACCTCCTAAAATAAATTCTTGTTTGTCATGGTTAACTGGTTTCAAAAAAATTAGAGTATTAAAAAACCAGGTTTGACGAATAATCAGGATGTAATTTGGAAAACGCATATACTAAAATTTGAATTTGAGTAAACGCATTATACCAAATGCAAACCATGACCGACAAGAATTTATTTTGGGAGGTCAAAATAGCAATTTTAGTGATTTTGGGTGGTTGTTGACCATTGACTGGCTGTTATTTTATGCTGATATATATATATAAATATATATATATATATATATATATATATATATATATATATATATATATATATATATATATATATATATATATATATAAACACACACACACATAACACTTATGCTTGTGTTTTTCATAAAAATTTTATTATACGCAACATCTGTATATAGTAAAAATTATAAGTGTAAAAATCTAATTAAATTAAATTTATAAAAACTTTACTCTAAAAATGATCGAATCTGATTTGAACTGCATGTTGACCACTTAAATGCACCAGGTCCAGATGATGAGCCTGATGCCATGATGTTTACACCATCAGGACATGTTTCACTATTATCGTGTGTAACACCAAGACTAAAAAATGTATATATAGTTTAGTAAAACACACACACACACACACACACAAATATATATATATATATATATATATATATATATATATATATATATATATATATATATATATATATATATATATATATACATATATATATATATATATATATATATATATATATATATATATATATATATATATATATATATATATATATATATGTATATATATTATATATATAAAGAAAATATAAAAGTGGTTTATACTTATGTGCAATTTCATGAGCAACTGTTAATGCTGCCATCAACCCTCTATCTTTTGCAACAGCGTGAGCATTTTCCAGGCAACGTGCAGTATATGCAAGACCTAATTTTAAAATCTTCAATTAATATCACTATTTTATTTTTAACAAAATTTAGTATTTGAGAAAAAATGGTGACAAAGGTGTAACAGATTTTGTTTAGTTAAGAAAAAATCATGACTAAAAATGTAACGATAGACTTTGTTCAATTGCTCAATTCTGAGCTAAAAATAATGTTTGTTATGATTATCTGATACTATTTTAATTGGGTATTCAGAATATTATTAGTAGTCATTATTACTACTCAGTTGTTGATCTCAAATAATTTAAATGTTTTTCACTTCCTTTATAAACCTTTTACTAATTTAGTAAAATTTAAAAAAATCTAAATTTAAAAATGCAGTTCTTATAAAGAACTAAATAAACAAATAAGTCATTAATGCTTAATATTTCCAGGTTCAGTGCGAAAATAAAATCTATAGTGGAATGTCATTAGGAAAAAAAAATTATGACATAGTAAAAGAAAAATAATCGCAAGTAACTTCAGTTGTTCTTTGAGATAACTAGTCGCTTCCTACCTTGATGTAAAGTTAACATTATTTGTCTGACCTAGCCTTAAAAAAAAGATCCATGTCATATTTTAAAAATCTAGAAAATATATATTTTTAAATATCCAGAAAAAATCAAGAACATATTATTCCTAATTTCATTCTTTAAAACAACGCCATAATGAGGAGGGGGAGGGAGGCATTTACAAAATGCTTTTACAATGCTTTTTCAAAACATTTTTATCGCAAACATTTAGATATCCAAAAAAGTCAATTTAGTTAAAATATAACTAACATCAAATATTAATAAAATTCAATATTTTATACTTAATATGAAGCTTTGAAAGATATTTTTGTCTAAATTAAATTTTTTACTTTACGGTTGTCGAACAGCGAAGTAAAAGTTAACTTTAAGTTTACTATACATTCTACTTTTTAAATTTCTATATAAATAGAATTCCTATAGTTTTTGCTGCACTCTTAAACTTAAAAAAAACCATGATTAACTTTTGAAACAACTATTTTGATTGAATTGATTATGAATATAAACATTACAAAATACTTTTTTATAATTTTATGTGTTTTGAATTTAAAAAGAAACTAAAATTTGAAATATTCAAAATTTTGAATGTATCTGGGAAAAAATAATCCCTGATTGGTCCACACTTGTGTGCTTACAAAAAGTTTCGATAATCCTATTTTTTTATTTAAATATGACATTAAATAAAAGGTAAAGCATATAAAATAAAAAACATGTAAAAACTTTTTAATGCTGACCTTCAAGAACACACCCATCAGTGCAACCATTCCTAAAAAACTCAGAAATTAACAACAATAGAAAATAGAAAAAATCTAAATGTAATATTTCTTCAATATATTTGCAAAATGTATATTAAAAAATGTATATTTCCTATAATGTTATGTTTTTAGTAACATTCTTAATTCTAAAACAAATATAAATTTTAAATAAAATTATGCAGCTTTTTAATGATACACATTTAATAACATTATAAAAAAATAACACAGGTATTTTAGTAAACCATGTTACCTTGTAATCAATATTGCATTGTCAGCATGACCAACAATTTTATCAGCAACATTATTTTTATTGACCCACTCAGAAAACTGACTCAATAATGATCCAATGTTAGCAGCAGGAAACTAAAAATAAATTATAATTAATACAATTGATAAATGATAACAAACTTTAACTTGAACAAAATTTAAAAAATGCATACTATAAATGATTTGATAGTTGTAATTTATTTATCAACATATTTGCAGTGTTAAGATGCAGTATAACCACTGTTAAAACCATGAGTTTTAAAAATTAATATTTATAACAGACAATTTATATAATAATTTATTTTAATATATTAATAAATTGTTTAATTTGGTATATTAGAAACTACATGAGATGCAGCAGAAGACTGAAAATTCTAAAATTATTCTGGCCTATTAAAAAAAAAATATATTACCATGTTTTTATCAAATATAACTGTTCGAACAACTACCACATTAAGTTTGTAATCAAGTGAATCATCCTGATACAACCCAGATAACTAAATTTTTAAAATAAATTGTATATTACATATTATAATAAAAAAATACATACTTACATAAGTACATAGAGAAATTACACGCATTTTTAATTTTTGTTTTTTTGGTCGTTTTTTTGGGGGAAAAATGCAAGGGTCTGTTTTTTCTTTAAGAAAATATATAAAAATTCATTATTTAAGCTACTAAATTTAACTTTAATGGCAATATCTTAATTCATAATTTAGTTTCAATTTAAAATAGGACAAATAATAAAATTAATACTGCAATGTACTGAAATTCATATATATATATATATATATATATATATATATATATATATATATATATATATATATATATATATATATATATATATATATATAATATATATATATATATAAATATATATATATATATATATATATATATATATAAATATATATATATATATATTATATATATATATATATATATATATATATATATATATATATATATATAACATATATATATATATATATATATATATATATATACATATATATACACTATAATTGTTTGAGTGGCATTTTTTAATAATGCTATTTTTTATTTAAGTATTTTTGATTTTTATTTTTTCACTATTAGATAATTTAAAAGATTTTTTCACTATTAGAAAATTTAAAAAATTTGCTTTGACAAAAATCATAAGAATAATAAAAATGCTAAAGTGGGCAAAACTAAATAAAAAATGGACCTTCAATGACAGTTAACGCGAACTGACATGTCGAAGTTTTGAAACTTTGAGTTCAAAATATTTGTTTGTCTGGAAAACAAATATTTTGAATTTATAATAAAAGCCTCCCTAATCACAAAATCTCTCTCTTATAAGATTTTTATAGAAGGAATTAAAAACAATGTCAATTAGTAATGATGCATAAGATGTGAAAAAAACTTATTTAAAACTTATGTTTACAATGCATTTTTGGAACTTTTCTAGAAGATAAATAGCATCTTTAGATGAACCTGTCCAAATATGAGAAAAGCAAGATAAAAAAAAACTACCTTAGCAGATGCTAATTTAGCTATCGGTTGTATATATGGTTTACATGAAAGGTCAGTAGTAAACGATAATCTAAGAAGAAAAGAAGAGGACTCATTGAGAATTTTGCCCTTTATTAATATACGAATGTTAACAGTATTGTGACAATTGTTTGCAGCAAATGACTGATGTTTGTTGGAGTTGAAATTTAAAAGCCACTGTGAGCCTCAATCTGTTACAGAAGTGAGATCAGATTTAAGATTGGCTGTTCTAAGCAATCAAAAAGCCTTTTTGTCATCAGAAAAAAGAGCTTCTTTAGATATAAGGTTGTCAGGAAGGTCATTAAAGTAGATAAGAAACAAAACAAGATCAAGGATAAAACCTTGATAGAACCTTGAGGTACCCCAGATGTTACTAAAAATGAAAAATAGTGTTGGCCTTCAAGGATGGCTTTAACAAAGCTGTTAGAAAGAAAAAATTTAATAGTCTCAAAAACTTTCACAGATACACCATATGAAGCAAGCTTATGGAGAAGATCAGCATGCCAAACTTTGTCAAAAGCTTTATATATAAATATCTGTGTGTGCGTCTATATATATATATATATATATATATATATATATATATATATATATATATATATATATATATATATATATATATATATATAGGCCTCAGAAGCAAGAGCTTTAGCTTTCGCTCTCGCCCACACTCCCCTAAAACAGTTTACAAGAGAAATTTACGCCTCTCGCAAAAGTATAACTTTTTTCACAAAAATATAATTATCGTTGTAACTAAAAAAAAAAAATACAATGTTATTTAAAAAAAATTAAATGCATAATATACTGCAACTATTTTTAAATTGTTTAAAATAAAAAAACTGATTAATTAATGTCTTTGGTTTTTCATTATTCATATTTGGCCATTTGACTGATATATTTTGTGTAATTATTCATTTTTATATTTGAAGGTATGCCCAAATATCGTCGACTGACAACAGAAGAAAGACTTCGCGCAGTGTTCTTGGCAGAAACAGGTGCAAGTTTAAGAAAAATAGCCAGAGAACTTAAAGCACACCAATGGGTATTAAGAAAATAATAGATAAACATATCGAAACTGGTTCAACAGCTGATAAGAGGCAATCTGGAAGACCAAAGAAAACAACTCCACACACTGACAGAGTGTTAGTTCGATTGTCCTTGCAGGATCGTAGATTCACTGCCCCTCAACTCGGTCGAAAACTTTCTGAAGAACATGGGGTTACTCTGGCAACTCGAACTGTACGTCAGCGCTTTCTGAAAGCAGGTCTTCGTGGATGTGTGGCTGCAAAGAAGTCACTGCTTTCAGCTACAAATGTTCGTCGACGATTGGAATTTGCCAAAGCACACAAAGACTTGACAGTAGATGATTGGAAACATGTCCTGTTCAGTGATGAAAGTTCTTTCAACTTGTTCCTTAGTTCCAAACGAGTAATTGTGCGAAGAAGAGTTGGTGAAAAATTCAGTAAAAACTGTATTGCGCCAACTGTCAAGCATGGAGGAAAGAGTTTAATGATTTGGGGGTGTATGTCTGGCTATGGGCTTGGGCACCTTTATCGATGTACTGGAAGTATTAACCAACACCAGTACATTGATGTACTACAAAACACAATGTTTCCTTCTGCTAGTGCGCTGTTTGGGCAACTTAACTCATTCTTCTTTCAGCATGACAATGCACCATGCCACAAGGCCAAGACTGTCACAGATTTTCTTCGGCGTAATCAGGTGGCAGTACTTGATTGGCCTGCTCAGAGCCCGGACATAAATGCGATTGAAAATTTGTGGAGCGTTATAGCAAAGAACATTGAATGAAAGAGACCATCTAACTTGGATAGTCTTTGGTTAATTTTGCAAGATGCATGGAACAATATTGATGTTACATTTACTTGCCTGTTTGAATTGAAGTTGAGCAGCCTTGAATTGAAGTTGAGCAGCCGTGGCGCAGTGGTTAGAGTTCTGGCTCAGAACTCAGAGGTCCGAGGTTTGATGCCAGCTCTAGCCCAACAAGCGACATTGGCACGGAAGGAGGCGTGAACTTTCTGTTAAATGCTCACCCGCGGTGCTCTATGATAAGACTGTAAGGACTTCTGGGAGCACCTAAATACATACACAAAAAAAAATATATATATAAAAAAAAAAAAAATGCCAAACTGTATGAAATATGTTATTAAAGCGCGAGGTTACCATACTGAATATTGATCAAACTGCATGTTCTTGATACAGAGTGTTGTTTTTGATGATTCTGATAAATAAAAATTGTGTTTGCAACAATTTACAGTGTTTTTAATTGCTTAAAATAATAAATGTATGCAAAACTCAATGGTGTATACTTACTTTATGCCGCTATAGTGTATATATATATATATATATATATATATATATATATATATATATATATATATATATATATATATATGTATATATATATATATATATATATATATATATATATATATATATATATATATATATATATATATATATATATATATATATATATATATATATATATATATATATATATATATATATATATATATATATATATATATATATATATATATATATATATATATATATATATATATATATATAGAGAGAGAGAGAGAGAGAGAGAGAGAGAGTTGCAAAAAAACGCGTTTTTTTCCTTTGGTGTTTTTTTGTTTTTTTTGACGTTTTTTTGGTGTTTTTTTGGTGTTTTTTTTGGTGTTGTATTGCTTTTTTTTTAACAATTTTTTTAGTTTTTTTTTTGACATAAAATTTGGAATAGTTTTCCTTTACAATTATAATTACAAGTATAATTTTAGTATTTGGTCATTAAAATAAATGAAAAATTAAAATATATAAAAAAATGTATAAACACCAATTTAACATAAATTTTTTATAAAAAACTTAAATTAGGTTTAAGTTAGTTATATATCTAGGCATACTGTATGAAAATGTTTATTTTTTGTTTTTGTTGTACTAACAACTGTGATACTCTCATTATATATAAAAACTATTTATATTCTATAAAAAAGTTACCATTTTAATTTTGATAATGTAAATATATTAATGTATAATACCATGCAAATTTAATATCAGACTTTGAATGCTCAAAAAAATAAGCAATCTATCAAGATTATTAACTATGCGGTAGTGGTGTAGTGGTAGAGGTGCTCGCTTCATAAACGAGTGGTTCCGAGATTGATCTCCACCACGTCCTTGGTAGTACCGCGCTCAATTCGTTTCTCCGCGCAGCGGCCTTGTTCGTCAAGGTTCGTGTTTCGGAGTTATAGAGTTGAGAGAGGGTTATAGCCACAAAATAAGTAGCCTCCTCGTCTGTAGTGGCCTTCTCGGCCTTGAGGAGGTAAAGTAAAATAAAAAAAAATAAAAAAAAAACTTAATTACCCATTTGTATACTATGTAGTAATTAAGTTTTACATTGTTTGTTTGTTATATCAAAAAAATATTGCTAGTATGCCCATATTTAAAAAAAGCCCTATACTGAACTTAATTTCAAGAAAAATTTAAAAATTTTCTAGTTATTATTATTTATGGAGTTTCCCCGACCCCATTCACCTGATGATTCATAATTTATTTATTTGTAATTAATTTTTTAACAGCATTGTTTTTTTCTAATTACATTATTTATTTATCTAGATATTTTCATAGCACACTATATTGGAACACTTGCAAAATTCTTTAGAATGCTCTGTTTTTTAAGTTCAATTTTTAGACATAATCTTATGGCAAAAGAATTGTTTATCTTTTTCCATTTTACTAATTTGGTTCAGAGGTTTGAATGAATGAGTGACTAAGGCTTTATTTCTCCCCCTGTATGGAGAGCCTAATCATAATTCTTTTTGTTCTTCCTGTTGATTACCAACAAGAAAAAAAAATTCACTTAATAATTTAAAGATATCCTTTCTCTTTATTTATATATATATATATATATATATATATATATATATATATATATATATATATATATATATATATATATATATATATATATATATATATATATATATATATATATATATATATATATATGTATATATATGTATATATATGTATATATAGATATTATGGTGCTTTAAAAATCACTACTCAGTGTTGTTAATGTGGTGTGGTTATTTTTTGTATTAATCTATTTTTAGATTCTAATTCAGAAAAGATTTATATAAAATTTCTCTTTATTTGAGTAATAAGTTGACTTTTTAATAAAACATTTTAGGGACCATTTAAACAATATTAGGGACCTGTTGAATATAAAATGAGCTTAAGTAAGAACTAAATATTGAACAATTAAACTTAAATTAGACTTGAAACTTTAAACTGAGTATCTGGGATTATTAAATCATTTCTTTCTAACTGCTTTATTATAATCATCGTCAAAGGCCTACTTATTTATTTCTTGTAACTTCTGGGGTATCTCAAGGTTCTATTCTTGGTCCTGTTTTGTTTCTTATCTACATTATTGATCTTCCCGACAACCCTACATCTATAGTAGCTCTTTTTGCTAATGATTCAAGTTTTTACTCCTGTCTTGACAAAAAATCTTCTCTTTTTGATCGCTTAGAACAGGCAGCCAATTTTGTATCTGTTGATACAAAATTGGCTGCCTGTTTTATATATATATATATATATATATATATATATATATATATATATATATATATATATATATATATATATATATATATATATATATATATATATATATATATATATATATATATATATATATACACATATACATATACAAGCCTTCCCAGGAAAGACGTGCGGTTTTTTGTCGCGTATGACCACGAAAACGTTTTTCAAGTTAGAGAACGTGATCAAGGTCGTTTGCGCAAGTTATATTATATGCGTTACTGGAAATTTGTTTTAAATTTAATAACTGCATAAGAAATTAAAGTAAACTTAAATAAACAATAATAATAGTATAAATAATTTGTGTGTTGTTTTTATTTTTGTTTTTTCTTAGTGGTTATTATTATCGACAACAAAATTCATTAAGTCAAAGCAAAAAAAAAACAAAACAATTTTAGGCGTTAAAAAGGATGACTTTCCCATATTTGGTGTGTTTTTTCTTTTAAAGAGGAAAGAGAAAATATGTATCGTCTTCTGTTTGTAAAATATATTTTTATAATTATGTAACAAGTTTAAATCAAGAGTTAAATTATACAATTGCGATTTGCAAACTCTGGTAAAATAATAGGTCTTTTATTTATAAAGGAGCAAATTATTAAAAGTTTGCTAGCAAAAAAGTTATAAAAAACAAAACAAAAACAATAAACTTATGACTACAAAAGTAATAATACTTTAGTCCAGAGCTGTGGAGTCAGATTCCGATAGTAACATTTCTTGGTATTCCACGTGCATGTACAAAACATTCAATTAACCTAATGTTCATACTAAACCTCAAAGAATGTTTCATAAATTTGTCAAAAAAAAAACTTTAACTTATCGCACAATATTTTTTTAAGAATTCAAAGAATTTTTTAAAAATTTTGCTTTGGAGTTGGAGTAGGAGTAGAAGTCGGAGTTGAAGTTGGAGTTGTACTCAAAAAATTTCAACAACTGGAGTCGGAGTCAGAGTTGTACTCAAAAAATTTCAACAACTTGAGTCGGAGTCAGAGTTGTTACTTTTTTTTTACGACTCCACATCCCTGCTTTAGTCACTAACTGCATTATAAAAGTAATAAAACTATAATAGTGTTATTACATTTATAAAGCACTTATTACTTTTAAAGTTCATTCTTTGTTCAAACAACATTATTAATTCCAAACATTTATTAAAGAAGAAAAGCATCTAAAAAAAATAAAGCGGATATCCAAATATTATTGAAAATTTCAGGAACTTTCACATATCACTTAAACAACGTTATAAAAAAGTACTTTATAAAAAGTATAGCATTATGAAAAACGTTACATAAAAAGGTGAGTTAATTTTAAAATCAACCAATAAAAAATTTTTATTGGTTAATTTTAAAATTAACGTGCATTTTTACGGTCCATTAGTAACGTTTTTCATAATGCTAAACTTTTAATACGATACATTTTCATAAAGTTGTTTGTCACGTTTTTATAAGTTACTTTAGTTTTAATATTATTTGAACATCCACTTTATTCTTCTAGATATTTTTCTACTTCAATTAAAACTTGGGAATACTAATGTTGCTTGAACAAAGAATAAATTTTAAAAGTTATAAGTGCGTTATAAAAGTAATAACACTATTATAGTATTATTACTTTTGTAATGCAGTTAGTGACTAGAGTGTTATTACTTTTGTAATCGTAAGTTTATTGTTTTATTTTTTATTTTTTTGCTAACAAATTTAAGTTGATTCTCCCCTTAAAAACAAGGAACACGGTTTTGTATAAACTAAAATTTTGAATACAGATTTTTTTCCAGATTTTGCGTTTTGCATTAGCTTAATTCAACCCTTCTTGTTACATTAAAATTATACAAATAAATTTTACAAACACATTGCAATTTGTATTTTTGCTATCCTCTTAAAAAAAAATTAAGAAAAGGAAAATCATTCTTTTTATTGTAGACTGCAAACTGTTTTTTTTTTGCTTTGCCTTATCTAATTTTGTTGTTGAATGTAACTCTAAAGAAACAAAAATAAAAACAGTACACAAATTATTTAAATTATAAATTTGTTTTTATTTTTTTTCTATTTCAATTTCTTTTAATTTTTTTAGTTTTGTTTTTTTGTTTTTGAAACATTTTCAGCATTATTATAAAACTTGCAAACAGCTGTGTTCACGTTTTCTAAAATATTATAATCGCGTGTGGTCATACGAGATGAAAAACCGCACGCCTTTCCTGGGATGGCTTGATACATATATAAATATATATATACATATATATATATATATATATATATATATATATATATATATATATATATATATATATATATATATATACATACATACATACATATATATATATATATATATATATATATATATATATATATATATATATATATATATATGTATGTATACATATAAATGTATACATATATATATATATATATATATATATATATATACATATATATATATATATATATATATATATATATATATATATATTATATACATATATATATATATATATATATATATATATATATATATATATATATATATATATATATATATATATATATATATATATATATATATATATATATATATATATATATATATATATATATATATATATATATATATATATATATATATATATATATATATATGTATATATATATATATATTGGGATAGAGTATAAATATACCTGAAACCATAAGAACTAAGATTTTGAAAAATGATAAAATAACTAAGATTTTAAAAAAGGATAATAGTTTTTTCATGAATATAAGCATGTGATTAAAAAATTATTGAAGTCTGAGATGATATGGTATAAAATTATTTTTGAATAGAATTTGAGTCTTTAATTATAAATGGTTATACTATTATGTCATAAAAAACTCTTTGTTTTAGTAGCATAATACAGAAATAAGTATTTCATAAATGGAAAAAAAAATTTTAATTAAAAAAAGCACACAAAATATCACCATGTAAAAAATTAACCGCAACACTTACAATATTAGCAAGAGCTAACAAATAACTTGGTAAAAATTCTTTGCCATAGTATTCAACCATTTTATAATCAGCTGCTATCATTAGTTCCATAGTTTTAACTGCTTGTAATGAACGGCGATGCCTTTTTTTAATTTTTGTACTGTTTGAACTTTTTGATTGTTTTAAATCTAAAAAATAATGTTAAAGTCAAAACAACTTAAAATAAAAGTAAAACATAAATAAATTTAAAAATTTAGATAAAAATTAAGAATAAAGAATTCAGATGAATTTTAAGATGTTTACAGTATCAACTTTAAAACTCATGTTTAAATTTATTTCTTGTGCTAATTTTAAAAATCAATCTTGCATATAATAAAAATCTATTCAATAAACAATACCCATTTTTTTATTAACTACAAATAAAAAAAATAAAAAAACTATTTTTTATATATTACTAACTTTTGCAGATTTAGGTTGGCAGTATCAAAATACATTTTGCACCCTTTAAAATGCTAACATAAATCCAGACTTTTAGACAAAGAAAAAAACAAATACATTAAAATTTTTGTTGTTGTTATAATCAAAGTCCTTTATCTAAATAGTACCTACTAGCGATGTACCGATTAATCAGCATCGGTTTAATCGGACTTTTTGCACAATCCGAACCTGTATCGGCCTTTTTTTATTAATTTACTGATTTTTCAACCAACGGCATTTTAATATTTTTATCCTGCATTATAATAATAACTAAATAATAAACAAACTAAACTTTATGCATTACTTAGATGTTTTTTATAAATTTTTATTTTGACTTTGTTTACAGACAATATTGTTTATTCTTAAGATTGTGTCTACAAGCTTTAATTTAACAGCTAAATGTACTTATACTTTTATTACCGAAATGTTATTTTTAGAACCATTTTATTTTGTGTTGTTCTATAGTTATACTTAAAAGTAACATATTTAAGCATTGTTTTTTTTTTTAGTTTTTTTTCTTCTGATTCATTAACAGTAAACTGCAAGCAACCACTAAGAGTTACTAGAAGGAAAAAAAAAAGAGTTATAGAGCAAGGAAAAGGTTGACAGAAGACTTAAATAGTTGAAGATTGTATGAGTCAGAAAAACAAGAAGATGGGAGAGAGTTCCAAAGGGTTGAAGTGTGGGGGAAAATGCTAGATGAATAAAAGTTTTTAGAGCATGCAGGGATAGATACAGTAAGAGAATGAGACTTTGATTAATGATGAGTCAAGCAAGAATGAGTTTTAGTTGATGGAACTAGAAATGAAAGTTCCTATGAGCAGTGGCCCTGATAGTATTTGTAGAAAAAAGAAAGAGGAAATTTACAACAATGGGAAAGAGGCTCAAGATTAGCAGATAGATCAGGTCCAACTATATTTACAATGCATTTTTGGACCTTTTCTAGAAGAAAAAGAGCATCATTAGAAGAACCAGCCCAAATATGACAAGTATATATGACAAATATGACAATATGACAAATATGACAGTATTCCATACAGGGACAAATAAGAGATTTTTAGAGGTAGAGAATGGATTCAGGAGAGAAAAAATGCCGAGCACAATAAAGAAAATTATTTTTATGTGTTCAAGTATAGCATACTACATTTTTATATTTTTATTATTATAACTTTTTTTCATTTCAATTGGTAAATTGAAATGAAAAAGGCCTAGAAGGCCACTCTAGTCGAGGAGGCTACTTTAGTAATGGTTACAACCCTCTCTCAACTTTATAACTCTGAAACACAAACCTTGGCAAACAAGGCTGCTGTGCAGAGAAATAAGTTGAGTGTGGTACTACCAGGGACGTGGTGGAGATTGAACATCACAAAATCAAACTATTCTAAAAACAACTTTTATTATCTTAAAATAATTTAGATATCTAAACAACATATGATTGCTGTTTAGATATCTAAATTACTAATAAATTAATAAAGAATTCTAAGTAAACTGCTTATAATAGTACCATTTTCTTTCTAAAATTGAAATAAAAAGCGTTCCTCTAAAATTGTATTTACTTTTTCGAAAGTTTTCTTTTCATAGTAAAAAAAAACTAAAAAACTATATTACTTTAACTGAGTTTTTCTAATATCTTTAAAAATAATGGTTTGGCTCTGATTTGGGTCCAAGTACTTGTTTAACAGTACATATTCCATGAAAAAGATTACTTAAAGTTTTATGGCTTTATATTTTCAAAACTTTAATAATTAGTTAATTCATCGAATATTAGCATCGGCATTGGCTTTTTCCCATTTAAAATTTTAGTGTATGATTACAAAGGTGCAATTACAGCACTGATATATATCTTGCTTCTATTATCCCTTGATTGAAGATTTAAAATCAATAAGCTCTCATTGAACTTGAAATTGATCGAAAATTAAAACTTATGGGAAAGAGTTAGGATCCATAGTGGCTTCAAAAGTTGCTGATAAAAAAAGCATTATGATATAATAACAACCTAAAAGGATTATAAAAAAGTGATGGAGCCAGCTCCTTTATTAATGGATGAGCTTGCGCGATTCAGTAAACCTTTTCAAAGATATTTATTTTGATTCTGGTTTTTTAACAAACAAAAAATAAATAGTTTAGAGGACTTATGAAATATTTTAAAAATAATTCTGTTCTTAACTTTGTAATCCTGTTTTGACAAAAAGTCTTCTTTTTTCAATCACTTAGAAAAGACAGTCAATCTTAAATCTGATCTAAAAAGTCTGATCTGGTTTATCACATCATCTCCAAGCCTCTATGTACTTTGATAAATAGTTATTTCGAAAATGGTATTTTTACAGAAACTTTTAAGGTAGCCTAAGTAAACCCTATACAAAAAACTGATTCTCTTCTTGGCTACTCCAATTATTGGCCTATTTCTGTTCTTTCCAAATTAAGTGAAATGTTTAAAAAAATATGTTCCAAAAACTCAAGAATTTTTCAGAGAAATATAAATGTTTTTACAAACACCAAAATGCTTTTTGCAACAAACACTAAACAACTCCACTTGCAGCACTGGGCTGGAAGTGGTGGAATACAGCTGTATTACACTACTACCTTTAAAAGACAGTATAATTGTCATGAAAAAAAATCATCTCTGGCAACTTATCTACAAATCAACTGAGGGCTAGACTACTATCTAGGTAAACAGGAGATAACAGTAAACCAATAAAGTTTTTTTTTTCTTTGTTTAAAAAATTATAAATGTTTAGGGTTTGAGTGTATATATATATATATATATATATATATATATATATATATATATATATATATATATATATATATATATATATATATATATTTCATGGCTGATGATTGCCGATAGGCATGAAACTTTAAGTTCCATTAAAAGTTGTTTTTTCTATATTTAAGAATAAAACGCTCTGTTTTTGAAAAACTAAATATTTCTTAAATATTGAGCACTCTACAACGATCAAGAGTTTAGTATTTTTAATACTAAATCATACAACAACAATATATATATATATATATTATATATATATATATATATATATATATATATATATATATATATATATATATATATATATATATATATATGTCTTCTTTATTTAAAATTTACTGCCAGTGCACAAAAAAGCACTGGCCGGACAGTAATTATATGTCTGGCGTGCACGATTTAAAAAAAAATATTTTTTTAAAATCGGTTTTTGTACCTCTTTAATTAGAATTTAATTAAAAAAAAAAAAAACGTTGCAACTTAAAAACATGTTTTAAATTTTTTGGTGAGCGCTTAAAAAAGTGCCAGCCGTAGTATTGGCGAGCATGTGAGCGGACGCAAAACTGCAAGAGCGCAAAAGCGCTTGTCAAACGGAGAAGATTGATATATATATATATATATATATATATATATATATATATATATATATATATATATATATATATATATATATATATATATATATATATATATATATATATATATATCAGGCTTGGTAGGGAAGCGGGTGCGATCGCACTCAATAACTGACTACAGAAATAATATTTAGTTGCAAAAAACCAACCAGATATTTTAGTCGTTTTGAGAACATTTAAGTTTACCTATTGTTTCCTTGTTTGTCTGCAAAATAATAATTAAGTTCATTATTTTATCGTAAATTTGAAAATATTTTGTTTTATGGACATACATGGAAACATACATAAACTCAAATGTTCTCAAACATCTTTGTGCAGAAAAATAAAAAAAGAATATTCGCAAACACAAAAAACCTGCCAAATCTACAAACAACTAATTCTTTTGGTTCAAAAAATACTAACTGAAATTTCTAGAGTATTCAAAAAATACTAACTGAATGTTCTGTAGTATTTTGTTAAAATATTTTAAAAATTGTATTAATTGAGTTTTGTTATCTTTTTGTTGAGATTTCTAGCATAAATTCTTTTAAGAATATCAAACAAATTTTTATTTTAACTCTCGGAGCCACATCTACAAACCTATAAATGTTTTTAACTAACATTTGTTTACAAAAATAAATGTTTTAAATTTATATTTTTTAACTTGTCAACGTCTTGTAAATATATTATGGATTTTTTAGTATATTCTTATTTTTTATATATAAGGAATGTATTTTTTATGTATGAAATGTATTTTTATGTAAGTAATGTATTTTTTTGTATGTAATTTTTATGCATGTAATTTTATGTATGTGTAATTTATTTAAATGTAATCTTTTAAAGCAATTTGTGTAATTGATTTTGTAAACAAAAATACTTTCAATAATAACTGCGTTTTCAATGAAATTATTAATAATCATCAAAGTTAATACAAATAATTTTAACCACAATTCCATTTTCCTCAGTGTACCCGATAACTGATTTTTTCCCCCAAGAAAGACAAGTTTTTAAGTTTTTAGAAATTGGTTTACAAACTTCAATTATTTTTGCTTCAGCCATTCTTACAAACTCTTTATACTTAAACTTAAAGTTACTTTTTTCTGTTTTAAATACTAATTAAAATTATAAAGCCCACTCACTAAACATCATTATGAAGCAATTCTTTCTCCTCACAAAGTAATTTAACGTTTTTAGTTAATTTCTATCTAGCTAATTGAATTTCTACAGTAACTCAACGATTTAAGTATTTAATTTGTTCATCTTACAAAAAGAATTGTTTCAAATGTGCTTAACTTTTCAAACTACGCAAAGCATAAAACAGTTATTGAAAAAACTTTTTTATTTATAAATAAACCATCTAGCGTTAGTTTTCTTGGTTGAATCTTGTTAGACTTTTCAGGGCCGGGGACTGCATTATTTTGGCGACCTTTTTTATGTGTCACAGCGTAAAAATGACTAAAAAAAATACTGAATGGAGCTCTAGACTATTTTTCAGCCCCTAACATTGAGTTCCGGGGCTACATCTCTTCTAACACCCCCTAAAAAAATTATAAAAGAGCAACATTTCAAAAATATTTACTCTAATTGTATTTATTTTACTTAAAGTTTTTCGCGTTTTTTAACTGCCTCTCATTGGTCCAGTTAATGTTATTGCGCTTTTTTGTTTTTGAAATGCTCTCAAAACAACCAAAAAATCTGTCCGGTTTTTTGCTGAATATTATTTCCGTGGTCAATTATCGAGTGCGATCGCACCCACTTCCCGACATATATATATATATATATATATATATATATATATATATATATATATATATATATATATATATATATATATATATATATATATATATATATATATATATATATATATGTGTGATTTTTTTCTTGTTGAAAAATAGTTCTGTAAAAGAAAAATGCATAAGAAAAACCTGTTGGTTTGTGGTTATTTACTAAAAATTTGTTCTTATGGCAACACTTGGATATTAGTTTGCTTATACTATTCATAGTGTCGACATGAGAACTTATATTTGTATGTATGTATGTATGTATGTATGTATGTATGTATGTATGTATGTATGTATGTATGTATGTATGTATGTATGTATGTATGTATTTATCTATGTATGTATGTATGTATGTATGTATGTATGCATGCATGCATGTATGTATGTATGTATGTATGTATGTATGTATGTATGTATGTATGTATGTATGTATGTATGTATGTATGTATGTATGTATGTATGTATGTATGTATGTATGTATGTATGTATGTATGTATACATACATACATACATGTATGTATGTATACATGTATGTATGTATACATGCATGTATGTATGTATGTATGTATGTATGTATGTATGTATGTATGTATGTATGTATGTATGTATGTATGTATGTATGTATGTATGTATGTATGTATGCATGTATGTATGTATGTATGTATTGGAGCGGTTCATCTTGTGTAGACAAAAAATTAAAGTCAACCAATTACAGAGGCACTTTGATATTTATGTTCCTTTTGACCTATAAAACAAAACTATTGAAATCAGAAAATATTTAGAACTGCCTAATGGGACCTAAAGTTTGCAGAGTTTTCATTTTGGGGTTTGATTTTTAAAATATTTACTTTTGTACCTATTTCCAAAAGCTAATTAGTAATTACTATTAATACCTGCAAAGAACTTGTATATAATATTTATTTATTTTAATATTTATTTACTTTCTTATTTATTTACTTATTAATTACCAAAGATCATAAATGACAAATAAAAACAAAACAAACAAAATGGTGGAGTCTTGACTTCAGACAGCAATATTAAAACAAATTTAAAATAAATAATACAATGCAAAACATTTTTTACTTACTTATAGTTACCAAAATAAATCAAGTGGTGGTTGGCAGACAGCAATAATGGCTTAAACAAAATCAAAAACTTACATTTATTTGATTGGGAAACCAGAACTACATTTTAGTGGCAGAGTTTTGCACACATGTTTGGAAGTTTTAAGAATATATTTTTTCTATCATAAAAAGAACAGTCAAACTCTAAAAGATGACATAAAAACTGTAGTCTAGCAGTTGTGTGTAATCTTGGCCAAAGTTAGAATTTCAACTGCTGAGCATAGAAGTGTTGTTTGTAAAACTGAAGCTTTATTGAAATGATACAGAAATATTTCAAAGAACAAGAGTCATGGTGGGCTAGCATAGCAGGTAAAAAAAGAAGAATTTTTAAACTCAGTAAATTGTCTTTTTGATATTGCTTACCACGATTCATTGAAGCTGATAAAAATAGAAGATCAAATATTTCTTGAAGACCAAAGTTCAGAAAAAAATATGCTTTGGGAGGTGTAGATAAAATTTTGGCTAAAAAAAAAGAAAGTAAATAATTAAGAATGCAAAAGGAAGCTCAACGTGGTATCAAAGAAGAGAAGGGAAACCAAAAATCCAAAGAATGTCTGGAAATAGAAAAAAATTATTGTCATCATCAGATAGTTCAAACGAAGCAGACAATCCTATGTCTAGCGATGAAGACTATATTTTAACTATATGTTTCAACAACATATCATAACGACTATATGTTTCAACAACATAACAATTTTGTTTAAGAACACTGTCAGGAGAAATCTCCAACAACTTTTAAACATGCAAAGGTATCTGCTTTAGATGTTATTACTTCATCAATTGCATCTGCACTTGATCATACAAATGTAAGTGACAGAAAAGCAGCATATATCTTAACAGCAGCGATCCAAACATATGGTGATGGTGATATATCAAAACTACCAATATCTCATTGTAGCATTAGAAAAAGCTGAATGAGCATTGTTTTTAACATTATGCTAACGTTAAGGCAGCTAATGTTGAAAATATTTTGTTTTATGAACATACATGGAAACATACATAAACTCAAATGTTCTCAAACATCTTTGTGCAGAAAAATAAAAAAAGAATATTTGCGAACACAAAAAACCCGCAAAATCTACAAAAAACTAATTTTTTTGGTTCAAAACAAAAAACTGCCATTTCTGATTGGAAATCGCAAAATCAAACAGTTGTAATTTCTCTCAACACGTCCTTTCTAAAGGACAATGTTGAGAAGTGGTCAGATATTCCAAATTACTAGGCTACAAAGAAAAACATTAAGGCACTAAAAGTTGTCAAAAGTAGTGCAGAAAGAGGAATTACTCTAGCCACTGCATTTAACTCGACAATAACAATACAAAAAGAGCAAAAATAATATTTGTTTCAAATGGTGGAAAGTCACAGGCAAAGATTTCCCAACCCGAAAAAATCAACATTACTTTCAGATGTTGGTTGTAACTGAAAAGTTAACTGAATACATGGAACAAACAGTGAAAACTGAACAGTTTTAATGGAAAAGTATTAAATAAAACTTCCTTATAATTCACTGTAAAGATATAAAATTTGTTGCATATTTTTTATGATAATAAAAAAAATTTAATTTTATAGAATATTTTTGAAAATTACTAAAAACGCTGAAATTTCGAGGTCGATGAGGCAGTTCTAAATATTGTCAGATGTTCTTCAAATTTTTTTGTGGTGTATTACGAAGCAAAAGCAACATAAAAATGCAAGTGCCTCTTCATTTTATTTTCTCAACCACCCTATTATATATGTGTGACAAAACATTTTTTTTAGAGAGTTCACTTTTAGGAAGAAAAAATTAGCTAATTGTATACCATTTTTCAAAAACATTGGTGATGAATGATGATAGTTTAGTAGATCAGATTTCCAGACAATAGCATGTTTAGCATCACCACCATAAATTCGTTTTGGTAAAGGATTTATAACATAGGTATTTTCTTTAGTATGAACTGTACCACTCTGTTAAAAAAATATCTTTTGCATACTTTAACATAATTGCTACCAATAAAATCATATTGATATATAAAAATAGGATTAATATATATATATATATATATATATATATATATATATATATATATATATATATATATATATATATATATATATATATACATATATATATATATATATATATATATATATATATATATATATATATATATATATATATATATATATATATATATATATATACTCATATAGTGTCGCTTTAAGAGCATTTTAATGTAAAAAAAGTCTCTTACGACTACAATTTTAATTACCTCGTCTCTTAAGCTGTTTTTGATTGTCATCGAAATGTCAAAGCAATTAATTTATGCGGAAGTACATTAAATTTAATTGTTTTTTAAAAATTTTTTAAAAAACCGCAATTATAACGACTAGAAAGTTTTTTTTAATTAGTGGTGTTTTTGTTATTGATTTAATAAAAAACATTTTTTAAACATGCGTAAATGTTGCTACATCGACTATCTTATAGCCTGACTCGCAACGGAGTGCTGCTACATCGACTGACAAATAGCCTGACTCGCAACGGAGTGCTGCTACATCGACTGACAAATAGCCTGACTCGCAACGGAGTGCTGCTACATCGACTGACAAACAGCCTGACTCGCAAGGGAATGCTGCTACATCGACTGACAAATAGCCTGACTCGCAAGGGAGTGCTGCTACAACGACTGACAAATAGCCTGACTTGCAAGAGAGTGCTGCTACATCGACTGAGGGTTTGGTTTGGCCAGGCAGTCTATCAATTAAAAAAAAAAATTTAATTTTTAAAACTTTTTCTGGTCTGGTTTATTAACGCGCTCTTTAAAACTACAGTTTATGGGAAATATTTTTTGATGCTACGCAAGAGACATGCAAGAGTATATATATATATATATATATATATATATATATATATATATATATATATATATATATATATATATATATATATATATATATATATATATATATATATATATATATATATATATATATATATATATTTAAACAATTTTAAAAATATATTCTACAAAATAGTGCTTAATATTCTTAAAAGAACAGAGCAATATAACTTCTATTATCAATAAAGTATTTCAAATGTCAAACTGTGAATAAGTTAATAAAAAAACAAAATTTAGCTGGAAGGTAGAGGCAATCAGTACCTTAATACTTCATTTTACTAAAACCTCAGGCATAAATAAATTCACCAACTTGCAGTCATCACAAAACTCATATCAACACAGGCATAAAAAATAACTTGCACACTTTCATATTTTTTTCATCAACAAAACATTCTCTTGTTTACCAAAATAAAAAATTTAGAAATGCTCAAGCTATTTAACAAGCCAAGTATGTTAATAACCTCAATTCTGAAAAAGAGTGTAATACAATTTGGAATTACTGCTTTGTGTATAAAAAATTACTATTTTCTTTATAATCCTTTTTTTTTAATATTACCAATTCTACATTATATCAGTAAAATGGTGTCAGCTACAGCAAACTGCATACTATTTATAAAATCATTATTCTGATATATCATCAGTGAGTGTTGAATTGCATATTATAGAATTGCAATAAAATCTTAAATCTTCCCTATCTAGAGCTAACTTATCAATACTTTAAACTAATATTATTAGTAACAATAAGAAGAATTTATTTAAATTAAAATTTTATTTAATACAATGAATTCTAAATGTTTATAATTGAATATCAACTAAATTTATAAAACTTAAAAAAAAGCATCAAGCAACTCTCTCTCACACACTCACTTCTATGCAGTAGTGGTGTAGTGGTAGACCGCTAGCTTCATAAGCGAGAGGTTCTGAGTTCGATCCCCACCACAACCCTGGTAGTACCGGGCTCAACTTGTTTCTCTGTGCAGCGGCCTTGATTGTCAAGGTTTGTGTTTCGGAGTTATAGAGTTGAGAGAGGGTTATAACCACAATTAAGTAGCCTCTTCGTATGTAGTGGCCTTCTGGGTCTTGGGGAGGTGAATTACCAAAAAAAAAAAACTTACTCTCTCATAAAATAATGTTATTTATATAAAAATATACCAATCCTTTTCCTGAGAGATGAATTGATGCGTAAGAACTTTTATCACCATTGACAGAGCCAGAACTAAAATGACCAGTGAAACCAGAGTACTTCTCAACTGTTCCATTCGCATTATAAAACTCTACCAAATGGGACTTTGCAATAAAATCATTTTTTGCCTTTAAGTTAAGGTGAAATTTTACACCAAAAGCTTTAAACTTTACTAACACTTTATCTTTTGATTTAAATAAATTATGTTGCGAAATGTTAGTAACTTCATAAAATGGAACTAAAAAAATTATAAAATATATTTTAAAATTATATAAAAACAATAATAGAAATATACATTTAAAAAATATCATATCAAATAACAAGTAAAAAATAACTATTGGTTTTAGAGCGTACTACTTTTTGATTTTTTGAAAAATGAATTTACAATATATCTGTAGAGTTACAGTCAAGATATATTTTATACCAAATAGTAAGAAATTTATTGAAACTTGGTGTGAAATTCAATTATTTAACAATGAAATTAATTTCTTAATTAGCAAAACTAAAAGTGTTTAAAGCATCAATTTTCGTTGTCCTCATAAAATGATTGCTAATGTTTACAGTTTTTTTTTTTTGCTCTATTTGAGAAATTTATTGAAATATTTGTTTTTAGGTATCTAATAATTCTGATAAAGATTACCTAAATACTTAAAATGTTTTATTCGAAGATGAAATTAGAAAATAATGTATTTTTACTTAAACTTTCTGAAGTTAACTATGGCAATTTAAAACACATATTTTGTAAAATTATTTAACTTAAAAAGTAGAAAAAATTAAAAAAAAAACAATAAATTTCCTTATGCTTTCAACAATTAAGTTTGAAAAAAATGAACAATGTATTTTTATTTGTTGATTTTGAAAAGTCATTAAACTATTTATATTATTTTAACACAACTTGTCTCTGAACATGGGGATTCGATTTTTTACAATATTTTTTATAAATAATAACAAGTTATAACTTCTTATTTTCACAATATGAAGTTTATGTCAAGTTGAATGTTTTTTTAGTTAATATCTGTTTGTAACTGCTGTTTTTAAAATGTATAAAACATATACAGCTTTTTGTAACTGCAAATATATTAAATTTATTACAAACTGTTTGTAACTACTATATTTAATATATAGCACTGCTATATTACAAACTATATTATAAACATTACAAACTGTCCTATGTATATATATATATATATATATATATATATATATATATATATATATATATATATATATATATATATATATATATTTATATATATATATATATATATATATATATATATATATATATATATATATATATATATATATATATATATATATATATATATATATATATCGTTGCATGAGAATTATAGAGTTCTGTCTGCCTTGTTTTATGTTGAAAGAATTTAAAAATTAAAGTTTTAAATAACAATAAAAAATAAAAACAAACCACTTAAAAAATGATATATTATATATCATTTTTTAAGTGGTTTAATATAAAATATGTTAAATAATGAAATGTAGATAAGATGAACAACTTATAATTTATAATTATAATAATAACAGCTGTAAAACATGTATTAAATAAATATTTTAAGTTAAGTTCTCACAACATAAAAAAAGGCAGATAGAACCCTATAATTCTAATGTAACGATATATATATATATATATATATATATATATATATATATATATATATATATATATATATATATATATATATACATATATATATATATATATATATATATATATATATATATATATATATATATATATATATATATATATATATATATATATATATATATATATATATATATATATATATATATTGATTTAGTTAACCTTGTCGTTTAATTAAATGACAAGGTTAACTAAATCAACTGAATAACAAAAAAATATATGATTGAATGTATGATATATGTTAAAAACAGTCATGACAATACTGTTTTTAATTTTGCATTAAATGACAAGTTTAACTAAAACAACTGAGCAACAAAAAAATATATAGAAAAATTTAAAAAAGTTAAAAAAATCAAAAAAAAAAATGAAAATCATTCAGCAAAAAAAAAAGTTTAAATAAATCGAAATCTATAAAAAAAAATTTTTTTTTAACTGTACGTGGTATTGTGGTACGCTTGGTAATTAAGACAACTTATTTTATGCGGGGTTTCCAGGCAACTTCTAGCAAATAAAAAAAATAAACAAAACAAAAAAAATCAGACCGAAATGAACTCTTTTTTTTAAAAAGTTTGTTAGGGGCTGTTCATTAATTATGTTAAAGTAGGAAGGAAAAAGCGGCTTAAAGGGAGGTCTGAAATTTTTTGGCAATTGTTGAGAAGGTGGAGAGAAGGAGGGGTATCAAGAAAAGTTGACGTCAGCAATGGAGCTATTGAATTGTTGATGTTATTTTATAAGGGGTCTCTGGAAGTTTGACAAGTTGTTGACTAGTTGTAGGGAAAGAGGTAACAATTTTCCAAACCTGTTGACATAACTAATAGACAGCCCCTTTGCTTAATATATTAATATATATATATATATATATATATATATATATATATATATATATATATATATATATATATATATATATATATATATATATATATATATATATATATATATATATATATATATATATATATATCATATATTATATATATATATATATCATATAATTGATATATGTATATATATATATATATATATATATATATATATATATCATATAATATTGTTTTGTAGTTAAATATCAATATATAAGCAGGAGCGTTTGGCGAATAATTTAAAACCGTTCATTTCTGTTGCGATAAAGTTAACGGAATTTCCGTCAAAATCCGTTTCATTGAAAGTTTTTAACAGTAATTTTCCGTTAACGGCCATTAATATATTTTAAAATAAGATTATTATTTTTCTTTTTGTCTATTTATTAACCATAAAATATGAAAAATTTACAATAATATATTATAAACTCACATAAATAAAGTTAGGTGTCACTCGTGTAGTTAAAGACTAGAAACTAATCAACGGAGTGACACCTAAAAAAAAAAATTGTTAATAAAACATAAAAAGAATTTAAAAGAAAAGAAATTTTTTTTGATACAGGATCTACCGATAAGTTGCGCGACTGCTGGTTAACTTTAAAAAGATGTATTGCTCTAACTTTGGATGATATTTTTGAATTAAAAAGGTGAATAAATTTTTATGACGTAGGTGATTAAATGTTTCAGATTTATTGACGGTTCATAATTTGCTCAAGACAGCCGTAGAAGTCTATTTCCCGTTGTTAGTCATTTAGAGTGGTTTAAGTCCCCGGAGTTCTCTTAGAAAAAACTATTAAACCGTTATCTTTTAACATTCTTTCTCACAACTTCCTCAGATTATTTTGTTATTAAGTCAGATCTTTAAGTTTAACCAAAATTGACCTGAAAAAATTTTTATTACTCCATTCAACCCCTCTAAATTATTTCAAGATTTGTGTATTTTTGTCTATCAAAAAAAAAACTTGAATATTAAATTTTTCTGAATATTTTTTTTTTTTTTTTTTTTTTTTTTTTTGCGGAAACGTTGCAGTGAACAGACGCTTTTTAACAGCTCTTTATAAATTATTAAAATAGAAGATAAACTTATTATTATTAAAAAAAGATAAATCTAAAATGTCAGTTACTCTTGTAGAAGTTAAAAAAATGCTAAATGAAATGATTTTGGAATATAGAAAAGAAATGGAAACAATGCTTAAGCAACAATAACAAATATTTATAGAAATCTTAAACGCAAATACAAAAATAATTAATGAGAGACTTGACAAAGTTGAAGAAAACTCTAAAGAAAGTGCAAACAAAATAAAGATAATAGTAAAAGATATCGAAGACATAAAATTGAGCTTAAATTTTCATGATGAAGTTTTTGACAAAAAAATTGCAACTATCCACAAACAAAACAATGATCGAGTGGAAAAGGAAAACATTACAACGCAAAATATAAATGAAAAGCTAAGAAAGTTTGAAGATAGATCGAGAAGAAATAATTTAAGAATAGACGGGTTACCAGAAAGTGTGAAAGAAACATGGAATGAAACTGAGGATAAAGTTAAACTATTTTTAGTCAATAAGTTGGGACTAAATGGAATAGAAGTTGAACGAGCTCATCGAACCGGAGCCAGAAAAGAAGGAAGCTCCAGAACAGTTATAATGAAGTTGTTAAGATACAATGATAAAACAAAAATTCTAAAAGAGTCATATAGACTAAAAGGTACAAACATTTACTTAAACGAAGATTTTTCCCATGAGACTGTCAATATTAGGAAAAGACTCCTGGCTGAAGTAAAAGAACGACGCGATAATGGTGAAAATGTTGGTTTAAGGTACGATAAAATTATTAAATTAAATAATATCAAAAAAGAATAACTCTTCTTTCTTATATTTATATTTTACACGTGTATGAATATATTTATATATCTTATATCTAATTTTTTAAGCAGTTAAATTTTTAATTATGACAATGACGGAAACAAAATATTTTGAAATTTTTGATAAAGAAAACACTCTTCTTCTGAACAATAACAATGACCCTGACAAAAATTTTTTTGAAAACGACTCATTTAAGTCTAATTACTATAGTATCGAAGAATTATCTTGTTTTATAAATGCGTCACAAAATACTTTTTCAGCGCTGACATTAAACATACGCAGCATGAGCAAAAACTTTGAAAACTTTAAAGAAATGCTAAAAGACATAAGTCACGAATTTACGGTAATATGCCTTTTAGAAACATAGTGCAAAGACGAAAATACCATAAACTCAAATTTTCAATTAAAAGGCTATAAAGCTCTCCATCAAACTCGTAGTAGAGGTACTGGCGCACAGTGGGTCAGAGGTGCCAATTTTCAGCCAAAACCTCTAAAATATATTTTAATTTTTTTTTTTTTTTATTACAAACGGTGTATTATATTGAAAAACAAATTATGCAAAAAAAAATTTTAGTTTTATAAAAACTTGGATTTTTATTGCATAATTTTGAAAAATTCCAATTTTTTAGCCTATAAAAAAAATTCCGTAAACTAGCCAGAGGCGGATTAAGAACATTCGGGACCCGGGGCTATTTTTTTCTGCAGTACTTTATTAGCCAAATTTATATAGCACGATTTGTAAGGGGAAGGTCTTCTTGAATGTTACGGGGCCCCTAAAATTTAAGGCCCCGGGGCCATAGCCCCCCTCCCTTAATTCGGCAATAAAATTAGAAACAAAAATAT